ATTCAGTAGATAAAAATACATTCACTTATGAGGATTCATTTTTAGCTCATCTGACCCAAAAGATTCGAGTAAGTTTTTCTGATCGAAAGATGTCTAGCTTCCGTTTGTCGTGCGTCATCTGTCATCTAAAGAAATTTTCACACGACATATTTCGACTTCTTCTCAATAACTACTAGACCAATTTCAACCAAAATTGCCACAAATTATCCTTAGGTAAAGGGAATTCAGTCAGGTTCAATCAAATGAAGGGCCACGCTTCCTTCAAGGTAAGGTAATTAAGAATTAGTGAAAATTTAATGGCATCTTTTAAAATCTTCTCAAGTACCGCTGGAACAGAAAATACGAAACTTATGTAAAGATTCATTACATTGTGTAGAAGAAGTTTGTTCAAATCATTGCCCTTGAGGGTATAGGGTGAGACAACAATAGGAGAACAAAGTTTAACATAGGAATATATAGGGAAAATCATAAGAATAACACATAATATTATAAAGGAATAAATAACTTCTTCTAAAGAATAGCAAAGACATGATTGGCCTGGTCATATTTCAAGGGAAGCATCCTCAGGTTGTGTAGATCAAGGTTGTTTTTTTCAAATCATATACCCCCTGGGAGTAGGGCGAGGTACAAAAGGCGATCAAAATTATACATAGGAATATAAAGGATTTTTTTGTGAAAAATCTTCTTGAGAACAGAAAAGCTTTAATCAGTCATATTTAGATAGAAGCATCTTCAGGTTGTGTATTTTAACAGTTGTTCAAATCATGACCCCTGAGATAGGGAGGCCTACAAGAGAGAAATCAGAATTCTACATAGGAATCTTTAGGAAAACATCTTTAAAAATCTTCTTCTCAAGAACAGCAAAGCCGTGATGAGTCATTATTAATATGGAAGCATCCTCAGGTGGTTTAGATTAAAGTTTGCTTATACATGTATCATGACCCCCGGGGGTAGAGTGTAGCCACAACTAGTGATCAAAATTTCACATAGAAATATATAGAAAAATCTTCTTAAAAACAACTAAGTCATGATTGTTCATGTTTTTATGGAAGTATACTTAGGTTTGTTTTTTTAACGTCCCTTTTGAGAATTTTTTAGTCATATGGAGACGCTGTATCCTTAGGTAGTTTAAATTCAATTGTGTTGAAATCATGACCCTTACAAACGGTGGGACTAAAATTGGCGAACTAAGTCTTACATAGGATTATATAGGCAAAGTCTTCTTCTCAAGAACAGCAAATCCACGATCAATCATATTTATATGGAAGCATCCTCAGATAGTGTGGATTCAAGTTTTTATCAAATCATGACACCCCGCCCTTGCAGTAGGATGAGAACACAATAGGAGATCTACGTTGTTAGGAAAAATTCTTTAAAATTCTTCTCTAATGAATCAATACCATGATAAGTCATATTGATATATGGAAGCGTCCTCAGTAACTGTAGTTTAGATCAAGTTTGTTCAAATCAGGGCCCTTATGAAAAGGTTCAGGCTACAATAGAGGATCAGAATTTTACAAGGGGGAACATAAGAAGAAATCTTGTTTTTTAAGAAATGCAAAATCACCCTGAATCACACTGATAAGCAAAACATACCTAAGTTGTGTAAAATTTAAAAAAAAAAAACAATGAGCCCTTGGGTTAGGGTTGGGCAAAAATTAGAAATCCGAATGCATGTTCACAGAAAAAAAATCATCTCCAAAACAGCAAGGTCATGTTCATGGTATTGAAGCATCCCAATGTTGTGTGGATTCAAATTTGATTATTCGAAGTTCCTGAAGGGTTAGATTTCGATTTACAATATGGAGTCAATTTTTTTTAAATTAAAGATAAAAGTTTTTTTTACAAAAAAAAAATCTGCTGATAAAGAACAGTAAGCAAAAGTGACTCAGGTGAGCATTGTGCCCTATGGGCCTCTCTTTAACATCATTTAAACATACACAGGTTAGGGATATACGCAAACCTATTGTTAAGCTTGTTATCATCATTGTATCTTGATATTTGTGTTTAACACAAATGCAAATTGTTTAAAAAATGTGTTGTAACTCTGTTTCTTCTCTTTATAGGATCTCCCATGGTGTGTGATTGGATGTGATTTTATCCAACGAGTTGTGTGTTTTCTATCTCGGAGCCTGATTTTAATCAAACAAGTTGTGTGTTTTCTATCCCGGAGCCTGATTTGTATCCAACAAGTTGTGTGTCGAGGATCGGGAATAGAAAACAGACAGTTGATTGGTTAAAAACATGACCAAGATTCTTTTTATCTTATTTGAATGGTTTTTATATATAGACTGTTTTACGTCGCATAACAACGACAACAATATTGCGCTGCAAAAGCAAGTTAAAACAAGATTAAGGAGAAAAATATGCTTTCAGTTATTTTTATGATAAGTTGAATTACTGCCTCGATATTCTATGTATTCTATTGCAAACACATGTATTTTATTATATAACATTACGAAGAAAGCGTCCGAATAAAGAATATTAAACAATGTCCAATGAGTGATATATATATATATATATATATATATATATATATATATATATATATATATATATATATATATATATATATATATATATAATTTTGTATCACTGTATTTTGTTTGAAAGTGTAAATGACTGCTATGCTTGGAAGGGAGGTACTCCTTGTAATTTGGTTTTAGATACTTTGTGCTATTACTTGTATTATACTATGGGGAAAATATTACAGAAACAAGTGCCTGTTGTACTAACATAATTTTGAAATAATCTTCGCTAAATACCACTGCATTTAATCTAAAAAAGAGACTTTACATGTCCATATGTTTTGTATGTTAATGAATTTATATACTCTTAAATTTGATTCCACATGATATTTCAGGGTATTTTAAAGGAAAATAATTATGTGGTTTTTATTATGTGAAATCGAACTTACTTAAAAAATTTCTTTAAGTTAGAGCTGAACTTGACGAATGGAATAATAAGTAAGTGACGGGATTATGTATTAACAATATATGATAAAAAAAAATTATTATGAAAGAGAAGATGGAAAAAAAACTGTGTTGTCGTATTTTTCTATTTTTTTTAAACGTAAAATATTCATGACTAGTATTGTACAACAGTCTGACAGCTGGAAATTCCCAAACATTGATAAAATGATAACTGTATAACGAAGGATTTCTTCCCTTTTTATTTTTTTTATTTTTATTTTTATTTATTTATTTATTTATTTTTTTGCTATAAGTGATTCTTCCAATTCTAGTTTGGCTTTTGTCACTTATTTTGTGAATTTGATTTTGTTTTATTTTTGGTTGGTTGGCAAAAAGGTATATTCTTTTAATCATAATAGACTAAACATTTATAAAATTTCTCATCAACTGCCATTGAGGGAGATGAGGTAAATGATGTGGCGAACGGAAATGAAAATAAAATTTGTCGAACTCCCAGTTGAAATACATTCTATTAACAGGATGAAAAACGGGTTTCGCCAAATCGTCGAATCGGTGTCGTTTGTGAACCTTCAAGGTCTTTCGATAATGAATATTTATGATGCCTGCTCTGGCATGTATCTGATTATGATAACATTCTTATGAAATTATTTTTTTTATGAAATCTTTACCATTTCCATATATATCACATCGTCAAAATATGTAAAAGAACCGATTATAACACATTAAAATACTACAGCTCATAAAAATTCCTAGCGACATTTGTTAAATACATGTACATGGCCTATGTATATGTCTTAAAGCTTGTCAACCTTATATGCATGTTGGTAAAAAAAGTAAATATTTGAAATATCTTAATAACCAATTGTAACACTTTTTCAACCATAAGGCGAAACTCGTCGGAGAATACTATTTTTGCAGCGCACAAAACTGATTTTGTTTCCTTTTAATATCAGAATTAATTTCTGTAAATAATGTGTTCATACAACAGTGTTAATTCTTTCATTTTTTGATTTTCATCCTCATGTATTCCTTTTCAATTTTGGATTGAAATTTACATGTACGACAATTGTATTAATAATTTCCTTTTTTCTCCTGCATGGATTAAGTTTGACTATTTTCAAAATTATCATAATTTGGACAAAGAATAAAACAATTGTATTTCTTTACCGTAACACATATATATTATTACTAACCTTTTTTTTCATTCGTATCAGATTGCATGTTTTATGTGATTGTTGATTATGAGCATTGTGTATATAATACGCAGAGGTGTTTCAGGAAATCATTGATGAACTTTTGTCTTATTTGCTTTGCATACATGTGTAACTATATGTTTTATTTGTTTCATGAAGTTATTATGTATTAAATTTTGTAAATCTTTCTTAATAAAACAATTAATTTATTTCACAAAAGCGAAAATATTTACTAACTTTACCTTAGGCCTCCTTTCCAAAAATATAATGTCGAAGTTGGTGCATGTTGTGCATTTACTTGATTATAAAACATTTGAAGTTTGCAAGTTTAATTGCCTGACTTCTTCACACGATTGGTATGCCCAACTTTGTTTATATGACGCAAGATCTGACAAAAAATAGAATTTCTCTGTATTTTAACTAGTGTTTTCTAATTAAGTTACAGAATTCTTTTATTAAAGCTGCTAATTTGCGACCTAGTATTTGTAATGACCATAAATCATTGCAGAACGTACATACTTGGAATACATATAAAAGAAAACTTGTATGTCATTGTAAGAAATTTTATTAACCGCTCTTTTGGCGACAAAGAACATTTTAGTTTATGTAGCAATAAACACGGTGAAAGCTCTTACAGATAGGTAATTGATTAGTGTTTTATTTTCTTTTGTTCACATAATCAGCGATAAAATGTCAAGATAAAAGTAATCGGTGTTAATTTTGTAGGAACAAAATATAGAGGAAACGCTGGCGGGAACACTTCCTAATAATCATTCATCAGCGATTGCCTTTTTTTTTTTTTTTGCTGTGTGTCAGACAAATCGTTTTTATGCGTTGAATGGCCCTATTTGGCTTTTTGTAAAATCAATCGTGAACGTGTTGCCATGTTTTTCAGTCAAAAGAATGTGTTCTGTTTGTTGTTGAATCAAACGAGATAGATGAGGCTAAACATGGCTGTGCATAAATATTTTGACATGAAAGCATCGGACACATTGAAGGATCTTATAATTATTTCTCTCCTAATTTGTAATATTCAAGGTAAGTTTGTGTCTTTTTCATTATTTTTGATGTTTTCAATCTTGGTGGTCTCTGGTAAGATCAAGTCATAAAACAAACTACACAAATAATTAGAGGTCTATGGCACGCTATTTTAGTTTGTTTTGTTGAGTCTCTCATTCCCATTTTATTAAGTCAATTGTCAGAAAGAATGTTTTCAATTTTCTTGACATGAATTTTAAAAAAATGGATGGAACCTCTCAATCTGAAATTCAATTTAACTGAATGAATACCCAGCTCTTTGTTTTTTGAAGTTTATTCTAAAAAAAAAGAAATTTTAATGCATTTACGTACAATGTATCGGCTATAAATTCCAAACAAAAGTTTAAAAAACAAAAAAGTTAAACCAGAAGAGTAAAGTAAAGAGAAGAACAGTTTTATTTATTCAAAAGTACTTCTCTAAACGGAAGCTTTATATAATTGAAGAGAATTATGATGAAACTTAATGAAAAACTAAGTGTTAATTAACTTACATTTTCATGTTTATGTAAATCTGGGCATAATAATATTGAATACCGTTCAATCCTGTGTTCCAAAATGATATCAATCAAGCTATTGATTCAATCCCCCCCTCTCTCTCTCTCTTAAAAAAACGAGAAAAGAAGGATCCTAAAGATTCAACTCACATTCAAGTCAAGCTTCTAAATTGATATGTGAGCAGTAATGCATTCATTTATATACAAACAGTAATAATAATAACCACATAAAAATACACAAATTGTAAAATATTTATCCAAGATATTTTGACATGAACACTTTATCTGCTTACAATTCTGAAGCGAATTTCATGCTTTATTCCTACAAATACTTAAGAAAGATAAACAACTTAAGACATTATCTTCTCGCAAAATCGAAAGTTGTTAAGATAAATTCAAACAAATTAAACATTCACAACACTGTTACTTCTATTATAGTATATTTCAAAAGAAGTATACGATTCAGCAATAAATTCAAATAAACATATATCTAGTAGCTTGTCATTATAACAAAAAAATAGATGATACAAATCGTTGAACTTAAAACATAATCTTCTGCAGGAATTATTTTTGGAAATAACAAACTTGCAAAGGACATGTAATATGTACGACATGATCTTAATTGCATTTGCTTATGTGAAAAATCATATTACTGCAGATTCTTGCGTGTTTTCCTACATACATAACCTCGCGTCACTTACAATGCCTTATATACAGGTCTATATGTCTCAATCAGGACATCATGTTTGATTAATGAGATTAATTACTTTCTCCTAATTGAATAACCTGTGACATTTATAGTCTTGTATTTACTTTCTTACAGAGAGTGAAGGCCTTGTGAGAAATTTCACCCCCCCCCCCCCGACCACCGTTTACATATACATACTAAAAATTTATTGATTTAAAGCATTTGCATATATAAACAACTAATTTTAAGATACTTTAGGCCACGATAAATTTGCTTTGTAAAGAAATGTATATTTAATATAAATTTATTAATAATTGTGTAAGTAAACATTACGCATCTCCAGAACTTGAGGGATTATAGTTTTCTCAAATAAATTAGTTTTGAAAAAGATATTATTTGTGTTATGTGGATTGTTCGACTTCACCTACTAGTATATATAATGACGTCTATTAAAAGATAGTACTGCACAACAAAGATCACTTCACAGCATCATTGGCTACAGAGGAGTCAGAGGAGTTGTCCATATTGAACCGAATTTCCGGCCAAATCAATCACTGGCTGTTCTTACTTTCCCAAACATACGGAACTCACATTTAGTGGAGATCCGGGAAAACAGAGTGCTAACTGACGTCACAGTCAGGTGCTTGGACAGGGATTTAGGACGAAGGTAATTTGAAAATCATAATAATATAAAGTCATCTGATTCTCAAGATAAAAAAGACCATGAAAGGTGAAAAAGGTTTTGGATATTAACCTGGAAGCATAAAGGTGAACTAAAACTTGAAATTTCAATGATTGTTCATATTATTCCCGTTGTACGAATTGCAAACTTTTTGTCCCGTATTTTGGTTCCTGAAACCCAATATTCATTATTTTAAGTTTTTTATCTGCATATATCAGAATGTTTAACATAATTTTACTACATTTCAAACATTTGTAATTATTTCCTTTCACATCACAAATAGCTCCATATTTCTTTCTACAGATACATCAACAGTACGTGGCTTCTTGTTCCTGGTCGAGATCATCGCTATTTTAGCTTGACCTCTGACGCACGCTCACTTAACGGTGAGTTTTACAATCATTACTGAAAGGGTAACATTCAAATAAATTTCATTCAACATGTAGCACATCTTTCAATGTCAGATAAGATTGACATAATACCTATGTCTGTTGTTCTTTAAGATAAAATTAAAGTGCTTCGAGGCAAATTGCATACTTTCAGTTGTTTTGAATGAATTGTTCAGCATTTTGCTAGTGTGTATTCCTTCAATAAATCTTTTTGACATAGGAAGGGCAATTTTACTGACTAATGCCGACACAGGAGAAAGAGTCTGTGGAACTCTTGAACCACGTGGATTGCATAATACGGCTGAAGCAAAATTCCTTTCAAACATAGGAGGAATTGTGACATTTAGGCAACTTGAAAACGATAGTCTTGCAGAAACTTCAGTGAGAGTGAGTCTATTCAAATTACAAGAAGAAAACCCAGTTGCAGAAACATTTTTCTGGTTCTTAGTTCCAAATCCAAATCGAGATCAATACAAGACTACAATGAACACCGAGTGTCGTCTTCCTTTGCCTTTTCCGCCGTCTCTCCAACAACTTTACAGCATGTCACGCAGATTTGGTCGTTTGCTTGTTGGTGCAAACAAGAACGATGCTACTTTCACTTTCATAGACTCTGAGTTACCTTTGTCAGGATTGAGGACTGTTATTGGAAATATTCTGGTACTAGCCAAACGAACAGGAGAAATTGCATCGTGTGCATTAATCAGAGAAATTGAACCAAAGCAAGCAATCGCTTCCGTATTTAATGACGGTGTGAAAGGTAATTTACCACAAAATATGCTTTCACACGTATTTTCACCACCACAACAACCAAAAAAGCAACTTCATATAATATTCAATTAATAGGTACATGTAAGCAGATCTGACATTTGACAGAGAAATTAAGTGCAATCAATTTGATGTGGTTGTCTCTTCTATAATTAAAATAAAAATCAGTCATCGCAGATTTGATTGGTTATACATGAATGTTTACAGTTGTAAATTATTATTATTATAGAAATTTAGATCGATTTACAGACTTGTCTTAGCATGCATGAACCTGTCTTATTTGACAATGATAAAATATACATATTCAGTGCAGTACTTTATTATCACAATAAATGTTACTATAGTTAGTACCAAAATGTAAGTCATTCAAAATTTAAATCGTTTTACTCATTTTCTCCGATTAACTAAAGTGCAATGATATATGGTATTCTTTCAGGAACAATTCAGTTTTTTCAAAGATCTTCCTATGATAATACTGTGGTGCAAATTACCTTGAACAACCTTCGAGGACTCGCTGGTGGTTACCACATTCATAAGTGGCCAGTACCCGTCAAGCTCACTGCATTAGATAATGTCTGTGACGACAAAAGCATTAGTGGGCACTATGATTTTCAAAGAGAAAAACCGACGTCTCCATCACGTCAGACCGGAACTTCTGATCAGTACGAAATCGGCGATCTTAGTGGGAAATACGGATATCTTACGGGACAGGACAGTTTCAATGGACAATTCAAAGATGACAATTTACCATTATTTGGAAAGTACAGTGTGATTGGACGTTCTTTTACCATTCATAGGTCTTACAGGGATGAACGATGGGTCTGTGCAACAATAAAACCAATAAGTAGGGTAACTAAGGCCGTGGCAAAATTCGTAGGACCTGTTATTGGCCAAATTGTGTTTATGCAAAATCGAAATGATTATTATTCTGATACGCATGTATTTGTCGAAGTAAGTTACTCCAACGGTATACGAAGACCAACATTTAATCACAATTGGCATGTACACGAAAATTCAGTGTGCAATTTATTTAATGAAAGGCCATGTAACTGTTCTGCAGCTGGGGAACATTTTAACCCTTACCGTGTGAATATTAACGGAAACTATGGTACAGAGTGTCGATTCTGTAACCCACTAAGATGTGAACTTGGTGACCTGTCCGGCAAAAAGGAAGCTATCAATGTTAGAGGCAATAATACTATTTGGTATCGAAATTACTTTACGGATATGAACTTACCTTTAGAAGGCCCACTTGGCATTATAGGAAAATCTGTAGTGATACATGATGAAAACAAAGGAAAGGGGCGATTGGCATGCGCAAATATTTTCGAAGTTCCAGCGCGAGCTTTGTTAGTTGAAAACTGGTATGGCTCGAGATCAGCACCTATAACAGGACTGTTTGAATTTGTAGGAAATGTTCCACAATATGAAGACGCAATAGCATGGACTTCTTTACGTTTGTCTGGTTTACAAAGTCGGGCTGCTGGATATCATATACACACAGAACCAGTAGATCTGTCTTCCCCAACTCCTTGCGAAAATAATGTGGTGGGTGGCCACTTCAATCCGTTTTTTATTAACCAAACAAAAAGCCCACCACCAGGAACAGGGACCCATGATTTGTATGAAGTCGGAGATTTAAGTGGCAAATACGGTTCTATTCTTGAAGGCAGGGTAAGAGTGTTAACATTACAGCAAACAAAGTTTGTTGTTCACTACTGGTTTGGATATTCTCAATTATCAAATACATAATACTTTTAATGAACCTAAATTCTTTTGAAGGTACATGTTTAATCACTTCTTGTGCATTTACCCTCTACCCCAGGACACAGCTCTTGCCTCAGGACCTGATAACTTCTTGCCTGTGTCAGGCCCCTTGAGCATCAGTGGAAGATCATTGGTCATCCATCGCGGTGATGGATCTAGATGGCTCTGTGGAAATATTGAGGAAAACACAGAAATGTCAGGGGGGAGGATTGTCCGATTGATTGCCAGGTTTACCAGGGGTCTCTTGTCTGGTTCTATAGTTCTGGTAAGATATACCGTTGATTAGTTACATTGGTTTGAAAGTATCATTCAACTTCCCTCACTTAAGTAAAGTGCTGAGCATTTTTCTTATTCTTTTTAATATAACATCAAAAAAATTAAGAGAAATATTAAGGACACACGCAAGTTTTGAACATTATTTTCTTTGTCCCTGTTGATTTAAGAGTTCCAATTTTCGAAGGAGCTTTCTGCAATTTTATAATGCAAATCTATGCTGTACACCTCCTCTGAATCCAATTTTGAGGAATACCAAAAATACATGTACATGTACGTTGCATATGACTTAAGGATTTTGTACATGATATTTATCGTTACACTTACATATTTGCAGAAACAATATATTTATCCAGATAACACAGCAAGTGACACTGAGATACTGGTGGACTTGAAATTTAGAAACAATGAAAGACTAAGGGTGAGCATATTATCTTCATTTTATACAATTTGCAAACATGTACGCCGAAGAGATTTCAAGTATTTAATACTTACGAAAGATTAAAACAATATTATGAACACATTCCAGTACCCCGGTATTTAATTAAATAAGAGATGTAAATGTATGTACAACTCCGTAAATCGAAAGACATGAATACTATTTTAGGTAAGAGGCCTTAACTGGCACGTACATGTGTACCGAGTTGTAGAGGGGGGCAATTGCCAAGATGCTGGGCCCCACTTCAATCCCTATAACGTCAATACAACGGTAAGATTACAAAATATCTTTTACAAGTCGTAAAGTCTAATAAAAGTCACTCCGTGATTTATCAATTTGCTAAGCATTTACAACACTTTTAAGTCAGGTCCGAAGGAAGCTAGTTCAGTGCCCCCTTCCTTCTGCGGGTTTCTACGACCATGAAAGTAAATCAATAACATTGCTGTAACCTTTAACTCAAATCAAACCGTGAATTTAAGATACTAAAAGAGGAGTTCAAATTATTAAGCATTTTTCGTGAACATGTACAAAGAACAACAATCCCTTCCCTATAATGTCATGATTTTTTCTGAGACAAATTTTATAATTGTTATATCTGAGTGTATTAGTGCCAAAATATGTATTCACATATTGGGATTTATATAACTGTTAATAAATCTCCAGAGTTCTATATGTACAATTTCCATTTAATTGCTCAAAGCATTTTTACATTTTATATAAAATCAAATTTTCCTTTGAGTTATAATAAGCCATAGACCTATCCCTCTTCGTGTTTGGAATCTAGTCTTTTTATAGATATTGACTGTTTTCTTTGTCTTGTTTTCTTTCAGGTCGGATATGAAGAATGTTCTTTTTCAAATCCTTATCGATGTGAATTAGGAGACACAAGTGGTAAACACGGTGTGTATGAAATAGGTGGGGGTCCAAGATTCTACACTGACGCCAATTTACCTCTGATTGGTCGATTTGGAGGTAAGATCTATACGTAAATAATTTTTCAGAATTCAACAGATAATTTTTTAATGATTTTTTAGCTCACGTGAGCTTTTCTTATTCAATTTTTCCGTTGTCTGTCGTTGGCGTCATCGTCGATGGCGTTGTTTTCGTCAATTTTTCACATTCTCGAATTCTCCAGATTCACAGGGTAAATTTCCAACAAACTTGCCAAAAAGCATCCTTGTGTAAAGGAATTTCAAGTTCATTTAAATGAAGGGTCAAATAATCTTTACAAGATAATTAAGAATTCGTGAAATTTATTTAATAATCGTCCCCTCAAGAACAACTGGGCAAGAAAAAAAAAAGGCTTAATAAACTCTTCAAGAACATCTTGGTCATTATTAGTAATATGAAAATGCAATCATCCTCAGGTACCTATAGCGCAGAATCAAGTTTCTTCAGCATAGCAGGGTTTTTGATCATATAAATAATATGAAGCGTCCTCTGGAAGTGCAGATCAAGATATCTGAATCAAGACTCCCAGCGTAATTATCAAAGGTTTGCTTAAGAATATATATAGAAGTTGTTTTTCTCTCAAGAACTAGCGTGGCATGACTAATCGAAAGAATATGCAAGTATCCTAATGTAATCAAGATTTAAGTTTGTTCAAATCATGGTCCAAGTAGGTAGGTTGGGGCCAGAAAATGGGGTAAAAAAATGATAGGAATACAAAGGAGGATTTCTTTAATCAATCTTTCGTAGCTCAGGTGAGCATTGTGGCTCTAGGGCTTTTTTTGTCCCTAGTTTTTTAACTATGAAGGTGAAAAAATTCTTTAAAATGTCATCTATTTCTTCTTGATTTGATTCAAAATAGAAATATTAGAGTTCTAAAAAATTAAGTTTGGAATATGACTGCATGTACCCCTAATGAATGTATTTTTTCATGAAAAATTACAAATTATATGTCATAAAAACATACTTGAAATATATACAATTTACAAAACCTAATAAAATCAATCTCCTAAATGTTTTGATGCAAAGTTTACCAAGAAATCGGTGTATTATCAAAATTTGGTATCATCATTGTATCCCAAACAGAAGATTTTAATAAAAATGTAATTATTTTGATGCATATATGTTTCTTTTTACAGTGGCAAACAGATCATTTGTTATTCATCAGCCAGTATCACAGTCAGGACGATTTGACTGTGCCAACATTGTTCCATTTTATGCATAATATTTCTGGTTTGGAATAAAATTGTTTATAAATACGTAATATATGAAACTTATCACCCTTTCAGCTGTTGTTCCTGATAAAATATCGATTTTAAAATCTTCATTTTTATGATGGTCAATATTATTATTTATTTTTGTAGTATATGTATTTTTTTTCTTTATACAAATTATTTGTTTGTGTATGAAATTCTTTTTAGATGTTCTCAAATAGTAGAGGATCGTGCGTTCAACACATTTCAAATGGAAATCTTTATAATTTCTATGAATAATGGTTGAAACGTTACATGTGAACCTTTATATAAATGTATGAAGTTTTAAAGATTCATACTTTTCTAAGGTTTAAAATAGAAGTCCTCTTCAAATTTCTTTTATATATGAATTTCTTTGAATTAAAAGTAAAATCAGAAACTGATTTGATTTTGCTCTGAATCATGTGATCTGCCTGTAACTCGATCATTTGCCATAGTGTACACACACTGTCCTAGCTCTCTTATATGAACTACTGAATTTTGTCATAGTGTACACACACTGTCCTAGCTCTTTTATATGAACTACTGAATTTTGCCATAGTGTACACACACTGTCCTAGCTCTTTTATATGAACTACTGAATTTTGCCATAGTGTACACACATGCACTGTCCTAGCTCTTTTATATGAACTACTGAATTTTGCCATAGTGTACACAAACTGTCCTAGCTCTTTTATATGAACTACTGAATTTTACCATAGAGTATATACACACTGTCCTAGCTATTTTATATGAACTACTGAATTTTACCATAGTGTATACACACACTGTCCTAGCTATTTTATATGAACTACTGAATTTTGCCATAGTGTATACACACTGTACCCCTAGCTCTTTCAAATGAACTATTGAATTTTGTAAACACACGGTGTCCCTAGGCTAGCTCTTTTATATGAACTAGTGAATAATATTTCTCAATCTGAATTCTTCCCATCAGCAAATTTATATTACTTTAAATTAGAAATTGCAAAATATGCATTGAAACATTTTTGATAGCATTGAGTCTTCTCCCTTACCCCAAAGGTAAAGAATTCATACCTTTTACATGTATACCATGTAACTACATGTATTTCAATTAATTACACTAGAAGTTAATGCCAAATATTTTCCAACAATGTGTACGAACGGTTTCAATAATTTGTATACATTTTATACTTCATGAAATTTTTTCTTTAAAAAATGAATCAATTTGTCAAACCATTTTATGAACTAGACAATTAGCAGGTATATTTAAACTGTAAGTTAACCATTTACAGTTATTTCTGAAGCACAGCATTGTATGAATTAAAAATTAGTTGAAGCATGAAAAATATTTTTTGAACTATATACGTTACATTTAATTTATGGAATAATTGTATTGCGGACTTGTATGTACTAGGAAATTGAAACTTTGTTATATAATTTTGATTGATACTACCAATGTGTGTACTGGAACTTATGGCAACGAACGATAACCCTCATTTATGAACTTGTTTACAAACACACGAAAATTGAATCGATAACAAAAGTGTCATTTGATGGATAATTTGATAATATGGTTTGTTTTTCATCTATAATGAGAATATCGACACTCATAAAACTACGTGCAATTTATTATGATGCACAAATTGATTATACAAAATTCTTTGAAAGAAAATGTTCCTTATTACTGATGTCATAAAAGTATTTTTTCTATAAGGCAATGAGAGAGAGAAAAGTGAAAGACTATGAACATTGACTCACCTCTGACCCTTTATCTTGTGATCTTAAGAGACTAAGTTTATTAAAGTTGTGTTATAGACTGATATTACCAAATACGTAATTCCCAGAATGCACCACCAATCACTATGGATAGTCGAACGGAGTTCTTACTATCCATCATAACTCTTAAAACTTAGAGATATAATCAGGCCCGTGGAAAGCAGTTCAGTTGCGGGTGGGGGCACAACCAGATATTTTCACTCGGGGGGTGGGGGAGGGACTACGAAGCACAAATTGCTTGGCAAGCAAAAAAATAATTCGAGGTAATTATACGTAATTATTGAAGGGGCACATTCATAAAGAACCTTTGTGTTCATTGGTTTTCATTATATGGACAAAAGATGACCAATCAATCCTAAAGATTTATCACATTTCTGGTCGTTTCCTTTCTCATTTGCTCAGTCTTCACCAGCAATTTAAAATTGTTGAGTTGTAATTTGGATTGCAGCAATAAATATAAGATAATAAAGATATTAATTACATTACCTATTTACGAAAAATGTAGTCACGTTGGGTCCAACTAGTATTCAATGTGTTCTCCACTCAAATGAGTCATTTTTCAACCTTGTTCTTCAGTTTCTTTTTCAAACATTGACATCATAACCAAAAGCACGCTTTCATTAGTGCTTAAGCTTTAGGAATTGACATAAACAAAGACATAGCTATTCTCTTTTCACTTACATACAGTATGCACCTCGCAGAAAGAAAATGAAAAAGGTATAGATAACGAACAGTTATCGATGATCAGTACACTAGTATTACTGACTGAATATTTATATAGGTTGCTGCTAATAGGTCCAGAGTAGGAAGTGAATTTGGGAAACGTCTGGTCTGAAAGTAACATCTATTGTTGGTGCAGAGCGTGATGAATTCTTAGCCATTATTTGCTTTTCCTAAAGTATGGGACGGTGTATCATCTTATCAGCATATACCGCTTTTTGAGAGTAATGGTACATTCCATCTTTAATTTATCAAATACCAGTTTTATCAAGGATAAGGAGGAGGTAAATTAGATTTCATTTTTGAACCTCTTCTAAATCAATAATCGTAAAATCGGTTTTCTTTATCTTCAAAATAGATTATATTATTACTTATTTATGTTTAACGAGTTCAGTAACTGCTATTTTTGTTTATCAGGGTTCACCTTAAAGACCTTTACTAACCTGGTCTAAAAAGTGCTTATCTCTATATTAGTATGTCGTGACAAGTCCAAGAGTGATTCATGTTATTGTTAATTTAACCAAAGGCAAACTGGGTTTTCATTCTTTAGCTTGTACCAAAACAGCCTTTAAGTTTAAAAATAACCATTAATCTTGAAATCACTGTCTTTCACAGCTCTAATTCTTGCTACATCAAAACTAAATGTCTAAAATATTTGGGTCTCTCGAAAGTACATGTAATCCATCCCAATATAAAATTGGTTATCACTAGATTTTCATTATTGTCCTTATATTGTATATAATAATGCTGATAAGAACATTTACCAATACGAATTGGGAACATCATGAATGTATTCATAATTCTATCGGTTCTTTGGTTAAACGCTGCGGATGCTGTTAATCGTAAGTGTATTTTTTATTAAGAAATCCCACTACGCATTGATAAGAATTTTTTGTTGCTATTGGCATCATGCAGTCTCCAGCGGCTTGAACGTTCCAGAAAATTGTTCCGTATGTTTCATGTGTGCTATGAATAATTATTGTAACAAATTGTAACACACAATTTACATTAACCTTACTTCTCTATTGAAGATTCGTGCAAGGATATTTACCTAGCTAACCCCAGCAGCGCTAATGGTACTTATACAATATACAATCGTAAAAACCAGTCATATAAAGTATATTGCGAATTTCATGATAAATTTGGATACACCTATGTGTCCAAGAACACTGCTGTTGAAGTCAATATCAACGACCTCTTCACAACAAGGGCTCATGTCAAAGTAAGGCATGTAAAGAAAAATGGCGTCCAGGCAGAAACAATTATGGAAAACATAAGAAACTACCCGACACAACCTCTCGGAATTTTCTACAACCAGCATGCAGGATATGCGGCATCGGTCAATGCGGCAAATCTAGCACCTTATCTTTATTTGGGATTCCTGCCTATTAACCTGGCAAATCATGTAAATCCGCAGGGATATCGCGCCTCGGGTCAGGATTTTCATTTTGTTAATTGCGACAGAAACCCTAATAGCTACTTTGTATTTTACTTCAACCCCAACCACAAACAACCTGTTGGTTACGTCAACAAATGTTGTGAGACGGCTCTTATGCACTCCTGGATAACGGTTGCTCATAACTTACCTACAGCGTATAATATGCCAGATGAATTTTATTTTGACTATGAACTACATTTTGGAGGCTGTGGGGGGTATGCATTCATTCATCACCATAATGATATCAATGGCGCTGCCCTCGGCGTGCGCTTTGGTAAGTATTCCAGGTAGATTCAGTTTCAAATTGTGATGCAAGATCTAATTAATTTGCAGATGCATTCTCCCTCTGCATTTTCAAAACATTTTGCATGTCTGTTCGTTTGCTGTTTATTAAAATAGGCTTACCATCACATAATACAATAATTTATCCTTTCTACACAGAACAAATGGATCCCTGTAAGAGCTCTCCTTGCCAAAATGGAGGTACTTGTTATTCTGAAGGCGAGACTCAGTTCATTTGCGAGTGCCCTGATGGATTCATGGGCGATACCTGTAATGTCAAAGGTAAATCTCTCTCACATTCACCCTCTCTCTCATTGAAAAATTTGGTACAACACAATTTAGCTTCTTTTTTTGCAGGAGATCATGGAAATACTGGAATAATAGGCTAAAGATACATGTAACATACATGTACAGTGTATATTTTACCGAAGAAAATAACAGAAAAAAGATCTCATTACAATAAAGAGTCACGAATAGAAACATTTACTTGTCTTATTTCTTAAAAAGTTATCATGCAGAGTAGTGTTTCATTACGAATGTTTCCACTTGACTTTTTTGTGCTTTTTACCTTTGATAACTAATAAAGTTAAAGGAAAATTCATCGTCCCGAAAATCTGGATCACACAGTAGTAATGTCGCAGGTTTTCAAGTGACATAACTCGTGTCTTTGAATTAGACAGTGATGTCATCAGAATGACATACACTGATATCCATGAAAAGGGGGAGGAGGATTGCCCTTTAAATAATGCAGAATCACATATAATTTGAATGTCCATGCAGATCCATTAAGTTACATGTACCATATCTGCCCTTATTAAACCACTGAAAAGATGTTGCCAGGGGCTTATTAAGCAAGGTAGGTCGTATATTTTTTAAAATAATTCATCCATGCAAATTTTGTTGGACTAAAAGGTAAGACTATGGGCCTGTTTCAGACACTTTTTTCGTGTCACTCGTTTAGGAAATATATATTATTTGCAGCTCCTAAAGCAGGACTGGTACATATAGTAAGCAGCCATAGATGTGTCATTCGTGATAGCTTGGACCAGGTACGGATCATAGTTTTTTTTTTTTTTTTTTTTTTTTTTTTTTAGAAAATAAACTTGTATAAAAAAAATAAACGTCGGACGCCGACCACATGGGTGTATTGCGAATAAAAGTGAAAACTTTTTAATCGACGATTTGGTAGATGACACTGGGAAAACTTCTTAAAAGGTTTGTAGATACATGTGTGAAAATAAGTTGTAAAAACCATCTTTAATTAAAAGTATTATCAAACTAAATTTTAGATTATTTATAAGTAAACTGATGATTGTTTACTATTATAGTATAATATTGTATACTATTAAGATACTCTAATTTGATTTACTATAATACTTTACTCTAGGAATTTTAGAGATTTATAACATTAAAATTTCTCGAATTAATTTTATATCAATCATGAAAAGACAATTGCATTTGATTGTTAAAAAACAATAACAACATCTGCATGTTAGGTCACAGTGTTTTTTGAACGTAAATGAACAGTTTAATATTTTTTTTAAAAAAGAAGCAAAATTAAAAAAAAGAATCCGCATGAATTATAACGAATATTTATCAGCTTTACCAATCTTGAGAGTATTATTTCAAATGACACTTTAATTCTTTTGATACAAGGGAAACTTTAAAAAAACAAATAAGGGATGCCCATTACCTTAACCTGTTAAATGATTGATTTATTGATTGTGTGTTGTTTTAAGTCCCGTTTTTTTCTCTCACTCATATAGAGACATCGATATATACCGGTAAAGGGCTTATATGCATTATATTTAAGAGAAAAAAAACCCAACAGTTTACGCTCCATACCTGACATTGCTTTTCTGTGGCTTGATTTACATGTTTACCTGTGTCTACCTATTATAATATTTTATTTGCGCTGTCCAGAGGCAGAGCCCATCCTCGATAAAAAGGAATGCATGTGAAATGTCGTTTATTCTTTTCTTTCAGCTGTTCGGAAATATTCCAACATCGAAGTTATCAGCTATTAATTTATCTTTTTTTTTTCTTCAAATTTGGAGCTTGTTCCGACACATGAATATATTAGGGTTATTGAACAGACAGCATGTTTTAATGACGTTTTATGCGTAATAATCTATACATCTTCACAATGTCATGGTTTTATGATATTGTTTCTCTTCACAACCTTTTTAAATAGGAACGATTTCACAAAACCTTGACATTGTGAAGATGTATAGGTTATTGCGTAGATGACCTACAATCTACTTGGTCTATTAACGATGTTTTAGAGACTTTTACAATAATTCATCCCCGTGGTAGCCAAGAAGCAAAATGTACATGTACTACCTGGTTAAAAGAAGATTTTCGCGGAAAAGAAAAAAATACTAGTGCTTCATGGTAAAGAAGGATTTTTCGCGGAAAAGCAATTTGGAGTCGCAGAAAAATTTAACAGCGTAATTGAGGAATTTTTCCTGTAATTTTTCCTAGAAAAAGGGGTCATACCAACTCAAAAAAAAAAAAACAACAACAACAAACAAACAAACAAACAAACAAAAAAAAACTAGATCGACCCAAAGGACAAAACCTTATTTAAAGAAAAGAAAACTAACCCAAAACTGAAAAACCTATTTGAAAGGGGGATGTCACTTTACATGTACCTTCCTACATATCTTACCAACTTTACAAAGTTTACTTGACCTTTCCCTTCATATTTTTGGTATTTTACTATATGAATTTTATACAAGTTGCGGGTGTTGGGGTGGGGTCCGGATACCCCCCCCCTTGCGGATCCCTTACTGCTTCCTCTAAGTAATCGATATACCTTTGTGATGACAACCTAAGCAAGCGTGCGTTTTAAGGAAGCTTTAAACACCAAGGAAAACATTTTTTAGACTTAGAGAACATGTTGTCATATAAAGGTATACATTATGAGATAATCTAGTTTATTTCCAGGATAAAGTGCTTGTCTTATTTCCCCAGCAAAATTGTTCAAAGACAATCGAGTGTTAGTGAACAGAAATCACTGTTGTTTACTTACATTGGTAATCAATATGTAAATACTGTATTCAATTACTTTATCTTGGTCTAATATAATGTTAAGAATACTTCAATTTAATATTGTGAACCTGAATCATGAAGTAGATGGCCCTTTTTCATAACAAACAGAAAGCAATATTGATTTTATTTTGTAATTCGGGGGAAAGGAAGCAGACAGTTCAGTTGATACTTTTTACATGTTCTATATGTGTGTGTGTGTGTGGGGGGGGGGGGGGTCTATTCAATGAGAACTTTGATTACATGAAATATTTATAGTTCTTTTATCACATATAGTAGGCGTAGAAATTAAAGCATAAGTAATTATAGTCCGAAATATCTGACGTTTTCCAGGCTTTTTTCACGATTTTGATATTTTACTTGCCAGGAAAACGTCAGAACCGGCGCTCGAAAACTGGAAATTCGCCGCCTCTAACTGGAGGCGGCATTCTCGGGTTGATTTTCGACACTTGCGAACCGATTTAAATGCTGAATTCACAACTTATTAATAGTACAATGCCTTTAAATTTAGTACTCGCCAACATCGTTTTTATGGTTTGTTTATGAAATATACAGTCTGGTGAAAACATTTTATCAAGTGGTAGAGTCTTCTTTTCATTGCGTGATTTTAAAATCTTGCAAGACCTGTATCGAAATGTGGAGTGATATTTTCTTTTCATCGATATTGGTGAGTACTAGAAGCATTGTGCTACTGATAAATTGTAAGTTCGGCATATAATTCAGTTCGCAAGTATCGAAAATCAGCTCCGGTTGGAGACGGTGAAACTTCCAGTTTTCGTAATGGCGCCGGTTCTGACGTTTTCCTGGCACGTAAAATATCAAATCTTAAAAAAAGCCTAGAGAACGTCAGATATTTCGGACTAAAGTAATAGTGATTACTTAGTAAAGTAATTATTGATAATTAATTAAGTGTATATTTTCAAGATGACAAAAAGTAAAAAAAAAAAAAAATAAAAGGAGGGGGGGGGGGACGTGGAAAAAGTATCATTATGTTCATCGTGGTAATGAAATTTCAAGTAAAATTTTACCATTTATCCATGTTGGGGGTAGGTTCACTTTTTTCCGACATGAAACATTTTCCGAATTGGATACGGCACTGAAACTACGTGCCTGAACGGATAAATTGAGAGTATAAACAGGTTAAACGAAGAAAATGCACACAAGCAACAAAAAGAAAAAAATCTCAAACGAGGGGGGGGGGGGGGCGGTGCACGTACTGCTTTTGAATACGTAATAGATTGTTGATATTGATGTCCAGGAGGTCATCATTTCAATAACCTGTGAGAACGACATTTTCTACAAAATCCAGCACCGAGGAATCCATTTCACAATAAATCTGATGCTTACATGTATATATACATTGTATATACATTTATTAATCCTTTTCTATGTTCTATTTTATTTAAATTTTACCCTCCAGTTGAAACAATTAACAAGAATAAAATCAGCTATATTTTCTTCGATCACTGCATTACATGTACGAGCCCCGTTCTAATCACGTTATTAACAGTTCAGATAAAGTTTTCGTCGATGATCTTCTCCCGTCCCCTCCCGGATTGCCTTTTACTGAGGTCTAACAGTCTAAAATTCCACTTTGCTATATGTCGGGAATACCCTAGTTTACTACATGATTCATCAAGCATATTTTGGGTCTATGTTGGCGTTATCTCGAACATGACATATAATTTGATAAAAGTATGTTGATCCGTCAATTCACGAGACGTCATTTTTGCAGTTGATTTCATAGGAATCGCATCGGAGAAATATTTGAAGTACTAAAAGAAATGTAGTGATTTCTCTCCGATGCGATTCCTATGAAGATCATCGACGAAAACTTTATCTGAACTGTTAATAACGTGATTTATAGTGACTAACGTCCCACAGTATTTCAGAAATCTCGGCATTTTTGGGGATTAAAACAAAAAAGAATATACGAGGGGTGATCAAAAAGTTTGCGAACTAATTGATTTACTTCCATAGAAGAAATGAAATTAGGTTTCAGTGTTCATTATTTTTTAGAGTACTCCTCTGCGATTTAAATGCACATTTGCCACCGTTCTGCTCATGCGCGAATCACGTGATACAGGCGGTCACATGACATGCTCCGAAGCGTTCCGTTCACAGAAGGTAAAAGATTTTTCCGAGTCTTATATTTCTTACCATGCAAGTTATTTTTTATAACAAGAACTGCCAATTTGTCAAAATTGACCGGCAATAGGATGGGTGTATAAGGATATCCTTTCCCAGAATGAGCATGGTGACCATCACAACCCATGTCTTCTGTCTTGGGTGCGTCGTTTATCCAATGTGGATAAAGTACGGGTGCCTTCTTTTTTATTATATCTGAAATGTTGAAAGTCTAAAGTAAACGATATTTTAGGGATTTAATTACTATATTATTGTTCAGATATTCAACTATGTTTCTAAATGTAACTTGGCGGTCTTTCATAACAAATTGCTCAACTAATGGCACATCTCTTCCCCGGCTTGCTCTCACTGGGCGACAAAACAAACATTAATTTTAACCACCTTCCTTCTTTCACTTAAACAATCAATCCAATGAATGATTGAAATCCTGGCAAGTCTTTTGTCTTCATAAACTTTGTACAAATTATTATCTGTTACTGCAAAGGAATTTCCAAGATACACATTAAACTTTACAGCCGTTCGTTGCTCGAGTACGACCGAGTCAATCATTTTTTTTGTCACAAGTAACCTACCTATTGACGTCATTTTTCACATTGTGACGTCACAAACATGGAGCAAAACATTACAAAACATCTGCTATTTATAGAACACATGTATGACTATATGTGTGCCAAATTTCATTCTGATCTGAATTGTGGTTTTTAAATGTAGAGATAGTTGGCGAACTTTTTGATCACCCCTCGTACTATGGTATATTTACATATTTTAAGCTTGACCAGAAATGGGTTATGAATGTTTAAGCTGAGTGGATAAGGTAACCCAAACTGTACAGTATCAAACTCTGAGGGGAAATGTTGAGAAAATGAAAGGTCACATTTTTGTAATGCCCGTGACGTCGAAGATTTTACTGCACCGTGCCTTCATGATATGTCCTGTTTAATCACCCTAAATTGATCTCAATTGACAATTAACATCTTGATTTGGAATTTTGAGGATCATACAAGTAAAGATTCTTTTACATTATGTATGACTTTTTGCTTGATTATGTCGTCAAATATTTTTTCTATGCAACAAGTCCGCGTAATTTTTTGAACGGCCCTGGTATTTTACGTCCTTGAGAATTTTCATGAAAATTCATTATATTTTGAGAATCTTTGGGCTTTTTTGAGACATATTAAAACTGTTCGCATCGTTTTAATAAGGAATTCGTTATCTCGAAAAAATAAGCAATTCAGAATGGCAGTATCTGTCATGGCTTTATTCTTGTTTAACATTATAAGGTAATTAAATAATAAAACAATGGTATCAAAACAATGGACAATAATCAAGTATTATAGCAAGTGTCAATTAGTAAGCGCCGATCCTCAATCTGGCATTTGGCGCATACAGTTTGCAGAAATGAGGAGCCATATGGTGCTGACAACCCTGGAGGGTAAACAGAAGTTGCCAGCGATGGCTTGTTGCAAAATTCTGCAGTGCGCAGGCATGGATTGCAGGCTGGAAGGGTCACTAAAGCCATGACGATGGTCGATGTGGCACTGGAATCATAAAATGATAACAGCAGAAACACAGAAGAAGAAATACTACTATATGTATGTACATGTATAAAACTTATCCGACTAATGTGATGTATATGTATCTAAATGTGTTAAATGATAGGTGGGGATCTATGTAATGTTGATGTAGCCTAATATAACAACTTAGATGGTGGGGGTGGGTGGGTGTTCAAAATTGATGAAGCGGAAAGGATGTGCGCGGAAGCGCATTTAATGACCTGGGGATATTTGGGAAAGAACCTGGGGGGATAAGACGATCCATGTGCCCATGCCCATTTTTCGGATATGAAAGAACATTTATTGGAGAAAATCTCTCAACTGCTCGAATTTAGTTAAGCATTTTAATGTTTACAGTAGTTTTCAAAATGATATTTATATTCTAAACAAGCTAAGCAGTTGACTTTCATTTACTGTCACAAGTGTCTAATATGGGTAGGGACTTCTATTATTTAATCTGCATATTGAGTGTTAACACTTATTGTGGAGATACATATATTATAAAAATGTTAACGTTGTATATAATGATAGTGGTGATCTAGAAGCGCTTGTAGTAAAAATAAATAAAAACGGGAATAAAAGTATTCAAATATATATTATAATTTTTATCCGGCATTTTAAATGAATTACTGTAAATGAGTTCATTAATACATACATATATTTTATTTCCAGTGAAAAATTTGTTATTCCTATAGACATTTTTTATAAAGTAAAACAAAATTAAAACCAAAAAGAAAAAAAAAGAAAAAAAAATCAGAGCATGACTCGAACACTTTCCTCAATAAACGTCCCTTTAAAGAGCTCCTCACTAACCACTAGACCACGGAGTCACACATTCGTGCCCATTTAAATAGCATACAGTTCTCTATATTTAGCAAGCGTATTTGGACTTAGAATTTTTTAAGACCACCGTGAAAATTTAAGTAAGTTAACTTAATTTTTTATGTAGAGTGGGTCTTCATACCAAATTTTTGTAAGCGTAAAAGGCAACATCTTTCCATTGCCTTTCATTAATCGTACTCAAAAAAATGGTACGATGACCCACTCTATTTAAAAATTGTAGTTATATCATCCAATTTATGTCAGTTTTTGTGAAAATTGAGCGTGATGCCATTTTGTTGTGTTAATCAAAATCATTTTCGCTTTTACAGTATTCAGGCTTTATCAAAATTGTATGCAAATGGTAATAAGCATTACATTAATTCAACAAAAAGTGAAATTTTTGTAAAATGAATTTATTGATTTTTTTATCGATCGTTATGTAGGCATATGGCTCGGCTTATCCCCCCAGTTTCTTTGGTTGAAGCCAGGAGAGTTATCGCGCTTAGGCTATTCTTCTTCGATAACTGACACTTACTGCACATAGCAGTAAATGCAATTATCTCGAGAGAATAAGCAATTTAGAATGGCAGTATCTGTCATGGCTTTATTCTTGTTTAACATTATAAGGTAATTACATAATAAAACAATGGTATCAAAAAAATGGACAATAATCAAGTATTATAGCACGTGTCAATGAGTAAGCGCCGATCCTCAATCTGGCATTTGGCGCATACAGTTTGCAGAAATGAGGAGCCATATGGTGCTGACAACCCTGGAGGGTAAACAGAAGTTGCCAGCGATGGCTTGTTGAAAAATTCTGCCAAGTGGATTGGTGTACGCGATTTTCGAGACAGCAATCCATCCGCCAACAAGTGGCGGAAAATTTGGCAAACAAGACATCATGTCTAATGCAACACAATAATTAGCAAAACAATTCAATGCAATATACAGGGTAACAACAATGTGTAATTTGGCAAAACAATTCAATACAACATACCAATATATCATCAAGCATGAACTGAGGGGGAAAATGGGGAGGGGTTGTTGTTGGGGAAAATGAGGAATGCAATGCACGTGTGTTTACTATCAGAAATTTGGGGGGGGGGTTGTTGGGATGGTATAATGGGGCCATTTGCAAGCCATGAACAGATACTGCGTTAAGGGAGGATGGGGAAAACTTTTTGACTTGAAGTGAGAAACTCGGACAATGCCGTTTGAACTGTAGTTGTGAAAATAGAATTCCCAAGATCTGATAGATGTACGCAATCGAGGAATAATTTGGGCTGATCTATTTTAATATCAGGATGACGTATGAGGGCCCCATTTAACTTCTGAACAACAAAGCAGCCAATAGAATTATTTATTCTTTTTCTAGATTTCTCTGCAGCTTCGCTGGAAATCATGTAACGCCAGTATTTGCGAGGGAGTATATTTGACCATACTAGAAGTGTGTTTGGTAATTTTTTATGAAGGGAGGCTAATAATGCCTTCATGGCTAGTTGTAGTTTTTTAAGGGGCTGAAGGCCAATACTGTTACCACCACAGTGAACTATTAGCATTTGAGGCATGATATCATCATGGCGATTTATCAATCTGGCAATGTGTTGATCAAGTTGCTCCCATTTTAGTCCCCCAGATCCAGACCAGGTAACATCTATCTTTAAGTGCTCCAGAGACAAGTTTTGGCCAATTGTTGAACGTATGCAGTAATCTTCGGCTCGTCTGATAATGGAAGATCCAACGATCCATACCTTGCAGCAAGTCCCTGCAAACTTAGCTTACAGTTAGTAAGACTGACTATTTACAGGACTACAGCATTCGGGCGAACATAGGACTTGAAAGCATTGGATTTCCATCTACCCATTGTTTTGATTTCTTGCTCTGGAGTACCTTGCATATACAATGAAGTTGCCGCCCCTATGCGAAATGAATGGGATTTGAATGTTGATGTGTCAAGCTTGAGGAATGATAGAGCTTTCTTTAGTACTTGATTGAATTGATAGTATGTCATGGGCGAGCCATCCATGTGACATAAAAACTGAGATGTTTGAGTTTGTGATGGTCTATGGGTCATGTAAGCTTGTATGTTGTGAAATAGGACCTGATTTTGCTTTGTGCTGTTAATTTGCATTGTTGTGCCCTTGCCATGCTGATCTGTTTTGGTTTTCCCTAATGTGATCAGTATGGATGATTGTGATATGGATACGTTTTGTATTGACAATGGGGAACTGGAGGGGTTTGCCTTAGTGGAAGTTATCTCCCCGACTCTAAGTAAAGCGAAGAATGCAAGGCCATAAGCAGAGGAGAAGAGTAATTTCTCGTAATAATTTCGGCATACGTGTTGCAACGAATCTATTATTTTAACTAATAGGGGAAATGTTATCGGGCTTCTTGAATCTTTTCTATGTTTAGGTTGTTTAAAGCCATGGAGCATTTTCTTGACTATGAAAAATTGACATGGGTCTGGGAAGTTACCTAGTTTTATGGTGAAGCTTAAGCCTGCTAGGTACGTTTTGGCTGTAGTGTATGTTGTCCCCTTTGATGATGGGTAAGCGATATAGTTTATTAATTGGTCTACGGGAGGGGGCCCCAATTCCTTCAAGTTAAAAAGTTTTCTAAATTGTGAAAAAGAGTCGAGACCTTTCTGGTATATTTCTTGAGTGTTATGGGAGACTGATGCTCTGAGTAGCTGTTCTACTTCCTGCTCAAATGGTTCCAGAATTCCGGAGGAACTTGGCAGGGATAGTAGTCTGTGTGGGGGGCCAGCTTCCTGAACTTTAGCCACTGAAAACGAGATATGGCATCAGCAATAGAATTGGAATGACCTGGTATGTGTTCGCAGCGCACTTGGATATTGTACACTTGTATTTTAATATTTTGTAAAGAAAGGGTCTGAGAAGGGACATAACTCTTGGTGACTTTGATGTTTTTTGGTTGATTATCTCTACAACTGCCATGTTATCGATATGCAAAATTATTTTTCTGCCTTGGAGTTTGTGGCCCCATATGTAAATTGCAAGAGCGACTGGGACTAACTCCAGATAGGTCAGATCTCTACAATCATGATGTGACCATTCTGAGGGCCATTGTAGGTAGGACCATTGTGAACCAAATATGACCCCACATCCGAGTGAGCCGGAGTTGTCAGAGGATATGTGGATAGTGTCCTTATCTGACCAACGCATATCTTGGAATACAGTAGTGCCATTAAAGTCAGACAAAAACTCGAGCCATATAGCTACATCTTCACGAAGTGCCCTTGATATAGTAATATAATGATGTTTTTTGTGTCCCTGTGATAGGCTATAGAATCGTCTACAAAAGGCTCCCCCGGCACGTATTGCCTTGGAAATAAATGCCAGGGATCCGACTAATGATTGCATTTCTTTAAGTGTAATTTTGCGACGCGAGGCAACATTTTGAAGTTGGGCTTTAAGGGCGTCAAGTTTATCTTTAGGGACAAAGATGGTTTGGTTGCTGGTATTGATCCCTAACCCTAGAAACGTTAGACATGTTGTAGGACCTTCGGTTTTTTCCTCTGACAAAGGAACGCCGAGAGTTTGGCAAATTATGTCAAACGTTTGCATGAGGTTTTTGCACACAAGGGTGTTTGCGGGGCCTGCAAAAAGGAAATCATCAAGGTAGTGGACTAATGTGTCAATTTTGGCTCGATCTTGTACGATCCAATGAAGGGCTGTTGCAAATTTTTCAAATGTGGCACAAGCTATAGAACATTCAAATGGGAGGCATTTATCGAAATAATTTTTAAAATGAAAGCCAAGCAGGGAAAAGTCTTCTGGGCGAATAGGAAGGAGTCTGAATGCACTAGAAATGTCTTTTTTGCCTAGTAGGGCACCCTGGCCCAGTTCTTTTATCACTCTTACTGTCAAGTCAAATGATGTATAATGAACAGTGCATAGATCTGGGTCAATAAAATCATTAACGCTATTTCCCCCAGGTGCAGATAAGTTACAAATCATACGCCAGCCCCCCCTGCTTTTTGGGAACAATACCTATTGGGCTGCACTTGATATTTGACATGGGAATAGTTTTGAAGGGCCCAACTATTCTGCCTAATTTTACCTCTTGATCGATTTTTTCTTGAAGCTGATGTGGATTTGTCTGCGCAGATTTCATGTTTTTAGATTTTTGAAATTCCCGAATACCCGAATAGTGAATGTTGAAACCAACTTGAAAACCATTGATCAATTCATGAGCTATGTGTTGTAATGGGTAACTTTTAAGCATTGATTTTAAGATGTTAACGTTGACTGGTGTTGGAGCCAAGTCCCAGAGGCCTTGGGTGGTTTGGAGGGAGCCCTCTACCCTGAAATCTGCTTGGGGGCTGGCGGGTTTGTTCTGCTTGGGACAGTCGAGAGCTCTCTGTGCGAAATGGCTGATTGTTGTGCCAACGGCAGTTTATGAGTGGGTGACTATTGGAGCATTTTATGCATGCATGTTGATAAGTGCAGTATGGTCTGCCGCATGTACCTTTGTAATTGAAGTCAAAGCATTTGGGTGATTTAGATGTATGATTAGGTGCTTGCTGGGATAGGGTGGTTTGGCCATGGGTCACATACAAAAGCCACAATTCTGCATCGACAGACCCCCAGTCCAGTGTGTGGTTTCTAGGTCGCTTTAACCTGAACTGTACGTCGTAATTGAGCCAGTTTAAGTTTAAGTTGATCGCTGTGCAGCAGTGCGTATGATGTTAATGTATTTAAGTATTGACTGAATGTGTTCTGGGAACTTAGTTAGGTATATGCTGGTAAATATTAGGAATGCGTTTGTCCATGTTTCTATTGATGTTATTTTGATTTCCTTATGTTTGGGTTTCAAGACTAGTTCACCATTAACAAATGCCAGCTGTTGCTGGGGCTCGTCATTTGGTTTGAGGGGGAGCAATTTGTGCAGGTGAATGAATGCATTATCAAAGATATTTTGCCTCAAGCTATCCGAGACATGCACGCCCAAAGCGTCTGAAACGCTGTTTAAAGCATTTGGTGTATTTGCATCAAAATTGATATTAGTACATGAGGCTGATGTACCTGCAGAGAAGACTGAGGGGTCAGATGCTGCCATTATTGATGTAGCTGGTCCTGTCATCTCTGGAGTTTGGGTTGATAGAGCTGGTGCTGTCAAAACTGACGTTTGGGCCGATGGAGCTGGTGCTGTCAACGCTGGAGTTTGGGTTGATGGAGCTGGTGCTGTCAACGCTGGAATGTGGTTTTCCTGGATGTCATGCTGAGTTGATACGACTGGTACTGTGGGTGCGGGTGTGACCTGGATCCGTCTTGTCGTAGTATTAGAGATTTTCGCCTTTTTGGCGGCAGCTTGGGCGCGTCCGGGTCTAGCGTATGGTGATTTGGAGACTCTTTTTGTACGGAGCATTTTTCTGCAAAACAAACGACTGTGTAATCTCGTGTTTACCATTATACGTTTTTTTTTTTGTTTTTTTTTTATTATTATTATTATTATTATTTTAAATTAGTTGCTTGAGACTGTGACTGATTATGTGCCAATATTATCGTAAACTGAGCAGGAAAAAACAAAATAAGTTTAAACCGATTTCTTTGTTATAGTTGAAAGGCGCCATTAATAGATGGTGATCTTGAATTGAGCCAGCTAAATCCGCTGGCATCTGAAGATGCTGAGGCGAAGGAAACGCCCAATTCGCTTCCAATGCCTCACCGGGTGTTTAATACATACCGATGTCCTGAGGAGCGATACTTATACAATACAATAATCCTCTTGATTGAGATAGGGCTTGAAGCTGATTTCTTGGCGATGTTCTCTGTTCAAAATTGATGAAGCGGAAAGGATGTGCGCGCAAGCGCATTTATTTGGGAAATTTGGTTGAAGCCAGGAGAGTTATCGCGCTTAGGCTATTCTTCTTCGATAACTGACACTTACTGCACATAGCAGTAAATGCAACTAACTAAAAATTGTATTAAAAAATTTAAAAAAAAAAGGCTACATTTTCATGTATAATAATAATTCAAATCTTCGTCCAATTGAAAAACTTCTGCAGCTCAAGGTTTTACTTCTTGAATTGAAGATTCTGTTGCATTAAGCTTGTAGTAAACATTACAAATGGACCAAATTCTTTTCCCTAGAGATTTGCAGCTTACAATTATAATGATCTTCATGATATCGATCACTGTTCGTTATCTTCACGTTTGTCATTCATTAAGACTTCACAGGATGGATAAAAAGTCGGTGATGAATTATTGTCCAGCTCGTGTATTTGTCAGCCTCCCATTGCTTTTACATGTGCGAACTTTTCTGAATCATTATCAGAAACCAGTCCTTAAACCTCAAGTTCTTATCATATGTTTTTGTTTAAAAAGCCCTCTTGTAATCTTTTATTTTTCTTTTTTTCTTTGATATTCTTTTATTAAACCTTAAGATTTGGTACCATTGTAGTTTACAATTTCTTTATTATTTTATTTAGCAAAGACAGTTTTTTTCAGTCTGAATAACATTTTCTTGGTTTCAAAGATTTCATTCCACTTTTTCATGTCTTACGTCTATAGGTAGGTTCTGAACAATTGTAATTTAGTATTTTATACAATTGTTTAGATTTTCGCAATTTAAAAGGCAAAAATACGTAATGTATTAAAAAAAATTGATAATTTAGCTATATGCTTTCTTTAAAAATCATGTTTTCATTATAGCAGGCATAATGCATGCTTCATATTCATATACGCTAAGAATCCTACTTTTGAATATATAACAATAAAAGACATATAACTGTATAAAGAACCCTCTTTAATGATAAATCACTGAGGACAATTGGGTGTGAAATAACAATTAGTATGAAAAACGTCAGTCAGCATTTAACTCAATGATAAGTTGTGTTTGCTGACAAGGTCATTGTATCGACCATAGAACTTACGAAATGATGACTTTAAACGAGACTGCTGATATTCTTGTTTCATCAACTTGTTTGTCAATAATTTACCTCGTTTTAGAAATTGTACATACGTAGAGGATGCTCTTGCGTATCGAATCAACTGAGAGATATAAACCCCGTATGCAGGTGATGAAGGTATACTGCTGCATAAGTAAGGGAAGTTGTTGATTGAAAAGTTAAAGCCATCACGTTTATCATAAAGCTTGGTTGTTAGATTTCCATCAACGTCCTTTTCAAGTAAAATATCCAAATATGAAACAGATGTGTCAGACTCTTTGGTATCTTTTATCTCAAGCTCACCAGGATATATCGTATCGACATAAGAATGGAAATAACCATTGTTAATTGACAATACGTCGTAGATATATCTAAATGTCGCGTTGAAGACCACAGCAAGTGTTTTCTTCTTTTCACGTATAAGATTTTGGACAAATTCTGCTTCATATGAATACAAAAGAAGGTCTGCTAATAACGGGGCGCAATTGGTACCCAATAATAGCAGAATGTGCGCAATTTTTGAACGGCCCTCGTACATTCAATAAAAGACCAACTTAACATTAGGGTCTGAATCCTTTATGCAGCTGACTAGATATTGACAGAGGTTCACCGTATTATTATATTAAAAAAAACCCAGCCTGCTAGATGTCAACAAATATTTTTTTTATCATTTGCATGGATTTTGATGGTTCAGGGCCGAGGGTATGGACCATAAAATTCAATTGTAGCTTCACCCAACCCAGTCGTCCATGATATGAACAAACGTGAATTTACACTACCCGAAGATGCGTGCATAGTAGTATCACTATAATCATATGGCCCTGATTTTCCTAGAAAGATATTTATCATATATGTATTCCCATATTTTTTTATCCTATTGTGGCCAAATCCTACAGCCAGAACCATGAAATAGACACATTTAAATTTACACTGTTTAAAGAAGCATTTACATGAGTTTCGTCCTTTTCTGATCAGTGGTTCTTGAGAACAAGATTCTTAAATGAAAAAAAAAATTCCATCGAAAGAGACGTGCTCCTTGATGAAAAAAAATTTGAATTTCCTTCATCCATGAATTTTTTTGTTGCAATTTTTGTTGAAAATGGTCCAGTGGTTCTGAAGAAAAGCTGAAAGTGTGAAAAGGTTACAGGCAACAAACGACCGACGACAGACTAACAGACAAACAGAAGGACTTTTTCACAAAAGTTCACATGAGCATTTGAGATAAAAAGTCAGGGCTATCTTATCCTCTTCACAAACATTACTAAATCAGCATATACTGCAGTCCTTATTCAAGTACATTTTCTGTTTTGAAGAGACTTGTCCTTCTGCGAGAGTTCATTTTCTTATCTATTTCAAATGAAAAATCTGATAACAATTTTGTATATAAAAGAGAAAAGACTGGCTTAGTAAGACAAACTGACGACTTCAACGTCATGAATGCATTGCTAATTTTGTCGGTTCTTTGGTTAACTCTCGTAAATGCAGTTCCCCGTAAGTCTGTTATAAACTTGTATATCTATTTTCATTTGGAGACAATTCAACAAGCAACACTGCACTCTAAAATACAATTTTCAGTAAAATTGACAAAAATTGGCGGCTCTTAAGGCAAACTTACGAAATAAAATATTTTGCTTGGTATTTTATGGCATGTCAAACGTTGAATATTCGATCTTTTCCATTTGCATTGTATAATTTTCCTTTAATATTTGTATTGTATAATTTTTATTTGTATTCTATAATTTTCTATTTGCATTGTATGATTTTCATTTGAATTGTATAATATTTATTTGTATTGTATAATTTTCTATTTGTATTGTATAATTCTTCATTTGTATTGCAAAATTTTTATTTGTATTCTATAATTTTCCATTTGCATTGTATACAAATAAAAGATTATACAATACAAATGATATTTTTACAATATAAATGGAAAATATAGAATACAAATAAATGTTATACAATCTAAATGGAAAATTATAGAATACAAATAAAAATTACACAATACAAATGGAAAATTATACAATACAAATGAAAAATTACACAATACAAATGGAAAATTATACAATATAAATGGAAAAGATCAAATATTTACATGCCATAGTATTTGATGTTATGAAAATTTGACATGCAACGTTTATTTACTTTATAATTGAACTCTTTGAATCTTAATAACGTTGTTCAAAATTTTTCTGATCAATTAATGAAAAAAATACCAATCTCATATTAACGTGATATAGCCTTCTTCAACAGGACAGAGGGATCCGTGTATGTGTTCGCCATGTCGGAATGGCGGCACGTGTTATGCAAAGGACGAAACACAATTTGTTTGCAAGTGTTCTGATGGCTTCATTGGCGAAACCTGCAATGTCAGAGGTGAAATTTAAACACTTTGTATCTTTCTAATCTGGTTACAATATGATTGTTGACAAGTTATATGGACGATCATTATAAACGCATTATCCTGCACGCTGAAGGTAGGTTTAAACATTGTACATGAACGGCTTCAGTCTCCCGATTCTACCCAGTATATGCTGTATTGAAAACGCGCGAATATTTACCTATAATGCTAAAATAATCTAGAAATTTACGTTTCTGAAATTAAAATTTGAATACATACTTAATAATAACTCATCTAAATTTTAATAATTTCGTGAATAAATGGTTGTTTGGCATTATTTTCTGAGATAAATATTACTGCTTGATATAGGATATATGATTACATGTAGTTTTCTATTAATTTGATAATGTTACAAAAGGCTGTGGAATAATATCCTATCATGCATCAAATCATGTTATTAGAAAGATTTAACAATGAGTATACTATACTCTTCATTGTATTGTTTAGAATGGAATTGAAAAAAAGTTTTATGTATATAGCCTTTTCTTATCATTACACGAAGTTCCTTGTGAATATTCATTCATGCGAATCAATTGCATTTTAAATGTTTGCTTTAAAAACGCTTTATTTTGAATTTACAAAAAATAGATGACCTACAAACTCTTTTTGCGATCTTCCCTTCCGGGAAGGCAATTAGCGACTGCCGAAGGAGTATGTTGGTTATAATTCTATTTTCAAAAACATACCAAAATATGAAAGTATACATATTTTAAGTAACGTGGAAACCATGATTTTTCTTTAAATTTTTTTATCAAGCAAAAGAATATAAGTTTGTGATTGCTACAAGTATGTAAATGCTTGTTTTTTTTTAAAAAAAAAAAAAACAACTTGCAGTTGACATGCCATGAGCACACTTTCGTGTGCAGTGATCTTGATTTCTTATAACTTTCATCAAAGTCTATTGTCAGATGTTCCTGTCAAAATTTCAATGCAGTAAAAAATCAGAATGTATATTTTTTCCGGAGACAAGATAGAAATATCTTGACAAGTATAATTGACATTCTAATTAAAACTGTCAAGGTAATTTTGCACGATCATGCAAGATTGGAATTGTTCATGATTAAGCCTTATGCATACGTGGTTTCACATGATTCATCCACATTACGTATTTAGTTTGATATGTAATGACTGTAAAATTACGCATTATTATATTGGTTTATTTATACAAATAACCGTTTTTCCAATTTGATAATGTCCTCATCTACAGAACAAAGGGATCCATGTAAATGCTCCCCATGTAACAATGGCGGTATTTGTCATGTTAAAGACGAATCCAATTTCATTTGTGAGTGTCCAGATGGTTTCTTAGGACACAATTGCGACCTCAAAGGTGATTTTTTGCATCTTTATAACACTGAATTGTCCTTCTGTTAATTTTATTAGCATAAGCTTAGTTTCTTGGTAAGTAAAGCAGTTTTCTTCAACAGTACAAAAGGATCCCTGTTTGTGTTCCCCATGTAAAAATGGCGGAACATGCTTTGCAAAAGACGAAAACAACTTCATTTGCAGATGTCCAGATGGCGTAACAGGAGAAACTTGCAATGTCAATGGTAAAAAGACTCTAAATTTTTAAAAATATGCAACTTGGCCAATTCATTGATTTAAGCTATGTCTCAAAGTTTGGTAATATAAGCTTTATTTACAGAACAAAGTGATCCCTGTCTATGTTCCCCATGCCATAACGGTGGCACTTGCCATGCTAAAGACGAATCCAAGTTCGTATGTGAATGTCCAAAAGGTTTCATAGGAGAAATCTGCAACGTCAAAAGTGAAGCTCTTAACTTCTTCGTAACATATTGCATTGTCCTCCTCTTCAATTCATTTGCAAACTCGTAGTTTTATGGTAGGTACATGTAGTGACACATCTTTCTTCTACAGAGCAAAAGGATCCTTGTTTATGTTCCCCCTGTAGCAATGGCGGAACGTGCTATGCAAAGGATGAAAACAACTTCATTTGCGCGTGCCCACATGGCCTGACAGGAGAAACCTGCAACGTCAAAGGTAAGAGACTTTGCTGTTTTTTTTTACATTATGCAACTCATATAATTCATAATTAATTCACTGAATATCAGCATAGTCTCTTAGTATTGCAATATAACCTTCAACTATAAGCGAGGCATGCTACTCACTGATAAGTTGATGTTACAGGGATTTAAACAGCCTCGTTTAAAGACAGTATTTCGTAAATTTTATGGTCGTTATAATGACCTTGTTAGCAAATATAATCTATCATTGGGTCGTATTATGGCTGACGTGTTTAATATCAATTGTTGGGTTTGTTTTTGTACTGAATTGACTACGGATAGTTCCGTCTACCTGATCAATACAGTACATAGGGCTTACGGCAGGTGTGACCGGTCTACAGGGGATGTTTACTCCTCCTAGGCACTTGATCCCACCTCTAAAATTTCCAGGGGTCTGTGTTTTATGCCCTCTTCACATATTTGTATTGTTTGTGGATTCTTTTTTGAGATCGATCACTTTTTGCTATCTTTACTTTTATATAGAACAAAGGGATCCCTGTTTGTGCTCTCCATGTCATAACGGTGGCACTTGCTCTGCTGTGGACGAGACACGGTTCCTTTGCAAGTGTCCACATGGCTTTATGGGTGACACCTGCAATGTCAAAGGTGAATAACTTTTTTGTCTCTCTCTTTCTCTATTTGAAGAAAAATAACATTTTTCATATTTATATGTATAACTAAATTTTGCGGGTTTTTTTTTTCAGGATTTTAAAAAATGCTGGAAGTATACGAGAATGAATAGACCGAAGGAAAATAGAAATATAGATTCTTGAAATAAAAATGTGTGGTGGTCAAAATGAAGAATTTAATAAAAATTTTGGTACACATTATTGAACGGTAGAGAGAACAGTTGTGAGAGCTAATGAGATTTTTCTTTCTTTTATTGTGTTTTTGAAAAAAAGAATCATATGACAAAACAATGAAGAGCTACTTGAATCATAGGATTTGTGAATCGTTAGCTATAGATAGCTGCATATCGTAAATAATTTAGTAGAAAAATTTTTGACAAATTGTAATATGTAACTGGGTACGTCAATTCAGCCTCACTGGGCATCGTTTCAACATGACAGAGATTGGCTACAGGGTTAGTAAATTCTGTAGTACATATTTCATCTGGAATCTTCCAGAATAAGTGCTTCTTACATCTTGAGTCCTCCACAACTAGTGCATATTACACTTGAATCTTCCACAACTAGGCCTGCTAACATATGGCTGATATACTGCCAACTCGGCGTAAAACAATATTATATGGGGTAACTACTACTTGTACGGCGGTTTGTCAAATCCCCTGCGTAATACCTAGTTGCCTGTTGTCCTGCACATGTTGTTTATTTTCAAATAATCAGTAGCCAGGAAGAAGGCCAATAAACGAAAAAGATAGAATAGAACGACGGATTAGGAAAAGGAAACACCTTAAAGAAATGCATACTAATATCGACACTTTATAAACATTCATTATTGTTATTTGGGAGTATTTTTACATGGAAATAAACTGTTAAAAATAACAAGAGACTCAAGGGTCTTAACGGTCACCTGAGTATAATACAACCCTGTAAAGTATCAGTTACAATACAGAATAAATTGAAACTTAAAAACAAGATAAATAGGATGATAAGAAATTGACAAAATAACTAGTTCAGTAATCAGCAACAACTCAGAAACTTGCCTGCATATGTTAATTCTATCTACACTCTATTACCAAATTACCAAAGACAATTGTTATTTTGCATTAATTGTTATATTGCATAAAACACAGTATTCACATAGTAAACCCAGCACGATACCAATGCCTTTGACCTCTCTTGGTCTCTGAAAAATTTTCAAAGAATTAATGCATTTTCACCATATGATCAAGAAAGCCCCATCTTAAATCCAAAACCCCGGATCCTGAGGACACGAATTTCACAATGGAAAAGGAACCCTTGCCAAGATCAGGAATTTCACTATTTTAAAAGAAACACACGCTCATCATAACCATTTACTTAGTTTGTCTGCTACATACCCAGGAGCAGAGAAGAAGATTTTCAAAGAAATAATGCATTTTCATATGATCAAAAGGGACCCACCTTTACATCAAAATCCCTGACCCAGAAGATATAAATTTCAGAATTTTAAAAGAGACACAAGTGCTCATCATTAACATTCACTTGGTTTGTTTTTTACAGACCCAGGAGCAAAGAAAAGGATTTTCAAGGAATGAATGCATTTCCAGTACATGATCAAAAAATTAAAGCCCCACCGTAACACCAGAACTCCTGACCCAGGGGACAGGAATTTAACAATTTCGGAAGTGGCACCTTTGCTAATCATAACCTACACTTAGTTTGTTTCCTTTAGACTTTGCCTTACTAAAAGGTCACATTTGTTGAGGTGAGCTCTGTAAACATTGATTACCTATGTAAAATAATTCTGTCTCATTTCATATAAAGTCTTGATATGTTTTCCAAGAATTAATGCATTTTCACTATATAATGAATAAAGCCCTGGACTAACACTAGAACCCCTGACCAAGAGGCCATCAAATTAGCAATTCTAAAAGAGGCACCCTTGCTCGTCATATAAATATACTATATTTGTTTGCTAAATACCCAGAAGCAGAGAAGGAGATGTTCAAAGAGTTATTGCATTTTCACGATATAATCAATATTGCATGTAGTTTATCTGCTAAATATGCAGCAGGAGTGGGAGATATTTTTTAATACGTTATGCATTTTCAATATATGATCAATAGAGTCCCGCCTTAACAAAACATTCCCTTATTTAGGGGCCATGAATTTCAAAATTTTGGAAAAAGCACCCTTGTTATCTTTGTACTTAGTTTTTCTGCTAAGCATATAAGGGAAGAGGAAGTTTATTTTGCATACATATGAATGCATGCATTTTCAGAATATGATCAATAGAGCTCCACCTTGACACCAAAACCCTTGAATCCGGGGCCATGAAATTTCACAATTTTGGTAGAGTTTTTGATGCTTATTACAATTATGCCAACAGATTGATTGCTTGATGTCCAGGAGCAAAGAAGAAGAAGATTACATTAATTTTGATGGTTTTAGCCCCACCCCCTCCTCCGGGAAACCATGAAACTCACAATTTTTGTTCCCCGTCTGAATAGCTGCTATATACCAAGTTGGTTAAGCAGTTTAAGAGAAGAAAAAATGTTCCGTCATGTTATCTCATGAAGGAACCAGATAGCAATAGGTCACCTGAGTTTATGTTAGAGCGAGATCATAATTAAAGTATGCCGTAATAATGAGTAATTTTAAGACCCGGACTGAGGCTCAAAGGAACAAACTTGAATCTTCTTTTGATTTAATTTGTTATAAGGATATTGGCATGGTTCCTGGATATTGTATAGAATTTTTCAAGAACAGGTGTAATTGAGCAGGTGTAATTGTATTAAATATGTTATATTCAGTCTGGTACAATTAACCCATCAAGCCACCCTTCCTTTTAAGATTTTGTAAAACAGTGTTATAATTCCCAATACATTTTCTATGTAAAATGTTGATAAAAAGAATCTACAAATTTCTCACCTTAAGATTTCTCCAAACCCATTTATGTCATAAATTTGATGTTTTATATACATTATTGTACATGTATCCTCATTTCCTACCACATCTATATATTTTGGCTGAAAATGCAAATACAGAAACAAAACACATATACCAGCACAGTTCTTTATTTTGAATTACTTCCCTTGGCATATAAGTATTATTCATAATGGTAAAGATTCTATAATGTAATTTACTTTATTGGAAACACAATTTTTAATAAAAAAAATTTATTGGCATGGATTTCTTTTTAAATTTTTGTTCGTATTTACTAAATAGCGTCTTCTTCACAAGACCTAGAAACTGTTCTCAGCATTTGTCACATCTTTGCCCTTCCCAGCATAGCTACGGTAAATGATGATCTGTACAATGTCCAACAAAGCCACCACTGCTTTTCTTTCTTGCTGCAGAGATGATTCTACTCGTTTAAGGAAGCACACATGCTTATATTTTCCTCTGTAACATACGCTTTTTAAATTATTGGTTTTCATTTCTTAGAGATCATTAGCGTAGATTACCATCAATATAATCACAATTTTATAGGCGAAAAACCCATGAACTTAACCTTTTTTCGGATAACCGTGACTTGCCATTGTCGTTAACTGGAAAGGATTTCAGTTCCAATTCCATTATTTTTCAATCATTTTCCTAGGAAGATTATGTCATATAGGTTATCTTAGTCATTTCTACTGAAGACATTTGTCTTTTTGTACTGAGATAAAGTGCAATTAACATAATAATTATACTATTATAATATTTGTGTAAATTGTTTTGTGTAATGAGTTCTTTTTGGATTTTGTAGAGTTGGGAAGGAAAACAATATTAATCAGAATAAACAAACAAATTTATTAACACAAAATAAATGAATGAAAACAAATAAATTCTATGTCGCTCAGTCACTCTCACATACAGGCTCACATACCGAAAAGCCTTGTATACGCACTGAAATGAATTTACGTTAACTTTACAAAAACCTAACCTACACGTATATAATTGAATACCAGAAATTTATAGCAACAAACCACTATATACATTATTCGAACACTCTTACCGGCTAGAACTACAAACACACGCTGCAATAGTCTGCCTAACAAGTTATATCTCTACCCGTTAAATTCGGTGCTATATCAAACAAACGCAATAGTATGGAAACCCGTTAGAACAAAATTTAAACAATATTTACAATTTAGACTAAAAAAATCAACTTCGTCACAATTTGTATTATTTATATACTTTCAATCTATATGATTAACTTTGACTTAATTTAACTGATCATTTCCATGTAGGCAAAGGGCATAATAATTTTTAGGAACTTGCGCCCAATTCCATAGTTCCTTTCGAATTACAAAAAAGTGTTCAAATTACAATTAAATATATGCAAATTAATTCTAAATTATTTAAGAGAATATAACCCACATGTATAGCCAAAATATTATACATGGTAACTTCAAAATATTCTGCTAATATTTAAACTAAATGAACGTGGATGATCGATCCATGATTCATGTTATTCATGTGATTTCATTCTAATTATTAATTTCTTTAATTGTACACTCCTTCATTGAATATAAACAAAAAAAAATATTTGTCTATGAAGTAGCATATACACACCAAAGAGGACAAAAAGGATCATTTTCTGATATTATAACACAATTTTTCCTTAAGAGTGTTCTTCGCTTCATTTTTGAAAGTTTTTCATAATTTCATAATAAGAACTTGAGTCTAAATACTAAATTCACAAACTGAATATGATTTTATATACCTGAAGCTACATGTATATGTAGGCGTTCTGCAACTTAATTGTTCGTCCATCTATTTTAATCATCAATCGTAATCGTCGCAGGCCACAGGTTTTGTGTCAATTCTATTTCCACAAATCCGTGGCTGCCTACTACAAAATTTTCCTGTTCTCAAAAAAAATAATGAACACATTCAACCAATGGATTAATTATCTGACGCTTCATGTCAGACACTTTTGTCCAATGAAAATTAATAACCTTTATTATACGTGTAGTTGGATGTAACCATAGCCACGAGCGTGTATCAACTTCGGTTTCAAATAAATGACTCTATTAGGCGTATCAAACAACATCTCCATTCGAAACCTTGTCTTTAAATGTTTAGGTTTGTAGGTTTTTTAGAAGATATTTTACTCGCCTCTGCTTAAATCTGCCACGCATAACAAATATGATTTTATTATGGGCGTCGCCATGAAAAGCCTTAAGGTAGCCAAAATCGTTACAGAATTATTTTATTGGTTAAGATTAATCTGGCGTCTATTAATAAATATTCAGTGCTTCATTCGCAAAACGAAAGGATTTTTGTTGTAGGCAGCCACGGGTTTGTGGAAATAGAATGAACACAAACCCCATGGCTCGCAACGATGATGAATTCTAAATATCTTTTAATGTACTTTAAAGTAAAGATAAATCCATTGTGCCAGAAAGAGTAAAATTATAAATAAAAATAAGTTTTATATAATATTCATTACCATCAATTTATTGATGAATTAATGCATCTACAATGTATACGCATGCTCTTGTACATAATACCTTAATGTGGCTTAATAATCGTTTTTACATAACTACTTAAGGTCAATCCCCAGGCAATTGACGTTCTAAATATTTCACAGCATATTTAAAATAAATATAACCCCTTCTTAATAAATCAGCTAGGGTTGAAATTTTTATTTATCCTATTTTTTTCAAACTCTCGTAATAAATTCCTTCTTGAAGGTTTGCTTCATTACAGTTTGTTCTAAAAAAAATTAAAAAGAGCAAAATCTTCAACCTGTGAACAATTTACTTATTTTCCTTTTTAAATAAATTGTTTCCTATTACTCTATATAAATCAAAGATGTGGAATTCATTACATTGATTTCACAAGATGCATTATTCAGAATAAGTATTTCTAGTTTCTTTTAAAGTAAAAAAAGAGTAAACTTTACGTACTCCATATGCTTACTTGTACTAAAGCACGTGTTGTTTAAGTTTAAATAGTGCATTAGTAAATTTCAGACAAGGATTTCAAATGCATTTTAACTTATTGAACTTCTAAACTAGGATAAATATAAAATTTAACTGTACATTTCTATTGCTTTTAAAACCTAAATTAAACCTGTTTGTAGTTTCATTGCAATGACGACGCTCTTTTACAGTATATAATTTTTTTTTTCATTTGAAAATCACACCCATATTTAAATCATGTGAAAGACTGCACACCCTTTATGAAAGTATTTTCTAAATATCAATAACATGCAATTTGAATGAGTGGGTATTGCGTCAATAGATTTAACAGCTCCTCAACTAATACTCAGTATAATTTGTTGTTACCGACCGGTGCTAATGACATAAATTAATTTTTATTTCGTAAATTTCTAGAACATAATTAGAGTGAACATACATGCAATAAACAGTTAAGTAAGTAACACCGATGACGTATTAAATTTAAGCCATCATTTAGGACGAAATACAGCAAAGTATAAATTGCAATACAGTGGAGCCTCATTTATCCGGACGCTTTGGTTCCCAGGCAATTTGTCCGGATATGTGAAGCGTTCGGATACCTGAATTGCCTTGTTTTTAGTTATATTGCCTTTCATACCATTTCAGTAGTGAAGAATGTTGCTTTTTATCAATATGTTTTATTGTTTAAATACTTTAATATAAGTTAGTACTACTCAATACTTGTTTTAAATAAATAAAAAGTACATGTGTCATTGGAAAAAAAAGTGTTTATATGGTCACATTAATTATTTCTACTTTCCAGTGTCTAAGGAATCAACTTCTCCTAGTAGCCATGTCGGTACGGTAATGTCGGTAGAGTCTTATTTAATATGAACGCCCATCAATGCTAAATGTGACATAATCTGCATATGTATACGAACACTAATCGTAATCATCCAAAGCGAGATCGTATTAACGAATGTAATTTTGAAAGTGATTTTTAAATGTCATCAAATCATCGTTTCGCGCACAAAATACTGTGCATAAAAAAACTCCGATGTCATGTTTATAAATACATAAAACCATGTTACGACTGTATTCTAACAGTAAAAGAAATATATTTGCCGACTACGAAAAAATTATTCTACACTTATGAAATTATTTTCCTTAATTAATAAGTATCAAAACCATGTTAGAGAAGCGAGAGTCTCGTGCGTACCTATCGACCTACAATTAACCTTGCCGCAAGCCATTGATAACAGGTCGCAGGTGATCATCTTTAAAACAAACAGCCAGATCAGTGTTTTTACAACAATTAACACCCAGATCAAGAAATTTTGAGCAGACTTGACAGACCAGTTAAAAATTATCGTCCGGATAATGAACCAAAATATAACGTAAAAATTCATTTTGTGGTGAAAAAGGACCGTCCGGATACGGAACGCGGAATTCCGGTTAAACGAGACAAAATAACGTCAAAAAATTTCGTCCCCATTAAAAATCGTCCGGAAACTGAAGCGTCCGGATATCTGAAGGTCCACTGTATTAAATACATGGACATTATTTTTCCATAGACGCTTAATTCTCAGAAGTGTACTGTGCATCCAAATATATATTTTTTTTAAAAAAGAAGCATTTTCCCCAAAGATGGCTCAAATAGGATAAACAAAATTGAAATATTTTACAGTATTTATTAACAAAAACAATTGTAACAGCATTTAAATATTTGTCATTTGTCTACGTTTTCTAGTAAAACAATTCTATTTATATTGCAAAAAATACTTGTAAATGAGATGTTAGGATTAATGTATGTATCACAGGCTTAATATCACAGACATTTCAAACAACATAAAACCGTGTCGATTGCAATAATCAAATACATTAATCACTGTATGAAATATGGGGTAAGGAAGCTATAAAATTTTAATTTTTTATGTTACTGGTATATAAATCTGATGAAGCATATAATATTTAGAAAATGGTAATGGGTAGTTAGTGGTACAAATTCACCTGCATTCAAAATTTAAAAAGTCAGTTGTAATGAAAAAATATGGATACAAAATCAAAGTCAGATGATTTATATCTAGGCGTATATTAAAATCCTAAAATTTCTTTCTAAGAATTCGCCGCCACCTATCCCAACCAAACACCCAAAGATTCATATTCAACATTCTTATAAGATATTTGGTAGTTTCTTTCCAAGAAAAATCAAACTGATACTTAAACACGCCGTTTCACGTTTTCCTTTTCGGTGAAATGTGCAGAACTGACATTCATCATAAAATTTAGTATATTAAAATGCATACTGCATTACTTTGTCTGCGGGAGAAAATATTAACATTGATTCACTCGGGTATAAGTTGAAGTCATATATAATTCATGTTCCCAAATCATGAATAGTTCCTTAGTATTCATTTCAAACCAGTTATTCTCTAAATCACATAACAAAATCTATTAGAAATTGATGAACATACAACTGGAATTTCAGACCAGGAATTCTATCAGCGATATCGCCAGACATTAACATTTTATGCTATGTTCGCTCTGCTAACATAAAGCTGAGTCCAATAATTAGTCCTATAAGAAGGGAAATAGTCAGAACACAAAAGATAATTATGATGGTTTTACTATTGGCTGTCCTTGTGCGAACTGTTGATACACCCTGTAACATAGATAAAATTCATTTTTAAAAAGATCGGTAAATCTCCAGATCAACATTTACATGGTAGGATGTTATGATAAATGAAGATTTCCCTGTCTCTCTGAAAACCTTGTCAGTAACACCGAATTTGAAGAACATATATTAATACCTAGGGTATTTAAAGGATGTGTAAAACAATATTAATAACAAATAATTTTTATGCGAACAAAACATATATGGATTCAGTCTTTTATTAATAAATTTGGAGATGCAGGCCATGGGCAAAATTTTTAATCGTATATATACACAATGACATTGACCTTAACTAATGGTCATGATACACGAAATTTTAATGTTCACAGATGTTTTGTAAAATATCAAAACCTTTTCTTTTGTGGCTTGGAGAACAATTCCGGATATAATTTTTCTCTAAACATATTCGTTTTTAAAATTATGACCATGAACCATGATCGTCACACTATGTTACAAATAAACAGTTTGAACTTAAGAATGAATCTTCTCGGATATACAAATAGAATATAGCAATTGGCTACAATGACTTTGGTCTTTGAGGTCTAACTTTTGATCAACGTTTGAGCAACTACTATATGATGTATGGAGTCATTCTATTTTGAAACATCAGATTAATGGTTCAGACCAACATTATGTCTCAGTATGTACAATAAATGTGACCATCGAGAACTCTAAATGATGTTTATGACACACACTAAAGCAGTAACAGTTTGTGGTTAGAGAATTAATCTTTCACACGAGAGTTGTTCTTGTTTAGGTGGTATGTCATTGACCCATATCCGGATCACGTGCAAAAGTTTGGTTATTTTTTTTTATTTTCCGGACCATTTCTCCAAAGTTAGAATGAGAATGACTTGAGGATACGTCACAGAGTAGACGTCCTCGCTCGGACTATGTGGCATGCTCATACCTTAATGTAAATTTTTAGGTCAAAGTCATTTGTTACATTAAAAAATGTATTTTTCTCCAAAGGAAATCTTGAGATAATAACGATATGCGAATAGTATCCCGAAATCTATTCAATAATGAACTTTTCAGTTTGTTCAGAGATGAAGATATGGTTTGACGTAATTTTGAAATCTAAGCAATATATTTAACATACAATATACAACTGCAATATGCCTTATCTAATATCGATGAGGAACCTTTATACTGATAATTCCTGTGAAATTTACTTGGAATAAAAAATTACATACTCTATGCCTCCGTGTGCGTTGATGGGCTTGGTCATACGATCTATAATACTTCGGAAGATCTCGGGGACTTATAAAACTATCATCGTATCCTGGGAGTGTATTTGTGTAAGGTGGTGGATTCAAAGGCACGGCTCTGTTTTGGGTAAACCACACTCCCCCGATTCCAGCGGTCTGAAGTGTGTTAGTCGGGGTAACAGAACGCCCAGCCACGTCATTGTAAGATGGCGGAAGGTCACCTTAACATAAAAAAATTACACAAATACTGCATGAAAAATGTTTAACATAACTTTCAAATGCTACTTTACGTTCGACTCTATATATATGTATACATCACTGTTATACTGTAAAGTATACTTTATAAAATACTATTATTTTAATGCACGATGTGTTCATTTTAAAGATACTAGTATTTCTTTTCTTTTAATTTCGGAACTCCCATGCTTACTTATTATTCTCCTTTACTAGTTATATACTGCCATTTAAGCCTTTTGTTAATTAACTCCTCACGAAAATATGAACAGCACTGTGCAACAAACAGTATCCGAGAAATGGTGATACTTATAAAACCCCAAAGCACCTTTTAAAAAATTGAAATTACAAAATTGTTCCATAATCAATAGCATCAAAAGGTATGATTTTCAACACTCAATACATCCATTCCTCACGATAAACTAAAGACAGACTTTCTGACATCATAGGCAACTATTTCTTTTATTTAAATGGAATTCGGAAATTTTCATATCTTGTAGTTGGGTATCTACAAAATTACTTTGTTAATTTTTTTTTTATTTTCTCACAAGTACTCTAAAGTCGATATTACAAAGATACTAAAATTCCTATTTGACAATATCTAAGTAGTCTTTGGAGACCAACAGTCTGTTCCAATGGTATTAATTTTGCCCCTTTATTAGCTGATCTGTTTTTGTATTCTTATGAGGCAGAATTTATTCAAAAACTTTTACATGAACAGAATACACGCAAGTGTTTTGCAGTGGCCTTGAATTCAACATTTAGATATATCGACGGCATTTATCAAGCACATGTAACAATTCCATTTATATATTGATTCGATATATCCAACTGAAATTGAAATAAAAGACAGCACAATTTAACACATAAGTTTGCTATTTGAGTGCTTTACTAGAGAGAGAGGGGTTGATGACAAACTAACAACTAAATTCGATAAACGTGATAATTTCAACATTTCTATCGTCAATTCCCTCATTAATGTAGAAGTATCAATTTCTAAACCACGACAGACTACTTACAGATAAATTATAATTCAAGGGTACCAACAATCTTGTTTAAAGTCAACAGTCTGCAATTTCAATGACATTTTTTCATACTGATTTTTCTATGGATACATCAACACAAAGGGTTCATGGCAGATGTGACCGATCGCTAGGAGCTGCTTACTCCTCTTGGCACCTGATCCCACTTATCATTCCAGGCGTCCGTTTGCACTGCTCTAAATTTGTAATGTTCAGTAGGATGTTTGAACTTGATTCCTGTTTGTTATCTTGATTTCATTCTCTTGATTCTGTTACCTCAATTTCCTTAAATTAAAAACCTCTACTTCTATCTCTTCCACATAAGCAATATTTGAATGCTATGTCTATGATGAGACAAAAAATAAAATGAAGTTTCATTTCATTTTATAATGAATTTAGAAAGAATTAGTTTATTGAATGTTGCCAAGTTTGAATCTATGGACATTTGTGGATCATAGTTCAGTAAATACTTAAATCGGGGTAACAAAATTTGTTTAGGAGTCATTGAGGCAGTACATGTATATAAGTGTTTTGTATTAGGAGACTGGTATTAAAATTTTGGTTGTCTAATGAAATGTACTTTGAAGCAATTTGTTCACATCTATTAAATTAAAATCTATTAAATGAAAAGATTTTCAATGAAATGATTCATTTGTTTTTTTTTAACACACAAATATTTTTTTTTTTAAATCCCCAATCTCTCTAGTACTTTTCCATCTGTAAAGTACATGTGAAGGATTTCGGTGCATATGTCATATGTAAATAAGAAAAAAAAAAATCAAAACTGCCTCCCAGGGCATTAAAAAATTGATATAATTTGTATTGAGCTTTAATCGTACTTACATGTGCACTTTTATGGTGTACAATTTGTACCTTTATCAATGCCAAATTACGTGCCCAGAATAATTGATTTAGAACTATTTGAATGTCCTAATATTTAACAATAAACTTTTTCTTCATGTGGGTGTGTGTTACTTCAATTACCTCAACGCATTTAATTATATAAGTGAACTCAAAAAACTTAGCCGGTCGCTATGGTTTTTGATCTATAGTTACCTGCCTTGTATATATGTTACGTATACTACAGCGGTTTTATGCTCGACTCCATACACCTGATATCATACATGAATTTGCAGAATTGGACAAACGTATCTAAGGTGTATCGAAGCCGTAGTAATCTGTTCTCTGTGTGAGTGAATCTTGCTTCAAATACCACTGTTTAACAGGTCTATATATTGACTATCTATAATTCCATCTCAAACTTAAGATTACGGGGCCATTTCATAGGTTAATCTTTTATCTAGCAAAATAGAAGGATTTCCTATGTGAACAAGATTGGAATCTTTGCCCACTCCCATATTGAATGCTTGTCACCTCCTATCACAAAAATATTAAATATATTTTCTAAAAGAATTCGATAGATTGACAAGTTTTCTTCCATTTTTTTCCTTCAACTTCATCAATTTTCAAAAGGTCATTTTCGGTAAAGCTACACAATCTTCTTTTTTTGAAAAAAAAAATTATTTGAATCATCATTCTTTGAAAAATAAATCAGGTCAGCCTTTTCTCTTTAGTTACCCTGAACGTGGAATACACATTAATTTCAAGCAATCATTTTCAATAAAGATTGTCTAAAATGTATTAAACTATGTTTTGGTAAGAAACGTTTTCACACTTTAAAAATAAAACACAATCTCATTCAGTCTATATTGAGGTCGGTAGAGTGCATGATTACAGGATTATAAGACGTTTCAAACAATGCTCTTTCAAAATGAGAAAATGATGTAACATCTTGATCTCCACCAAATCTTTCGATTGAATATGAATCGTAATAAATACTATACTGGTGCACTTTCCACATTTAATTACTTTTTTCATCTGAGATCTCGTCCAAGCCTAAGTATATGAAACAATAAACATTGTAAATTTGAATGTCGTTTTACATAACAAACGTATAGGTGATGTGTATTGCTTGAGTTCTGATTTTAATGTCTATTAGAGAGTGAAGCTCTACAGTATGCCTCAGTGGGATGACACCTTGTTCTGATCTGTCTAATCCTTCAAGGTTTTTTTTGTTGTAAAGAATCAATGCTTATCTCAATATTGCCTGCTGCACACTTATTGACTTATTCCATACACTTTTATACTGTTGTATAAACAGTACATAGATAGCTTGTTATATATAAATGAACATATTAATTTTTTTAGCCAGCTAAATAAATTGAGATTTTGCACTTTAGTGTTGAAATAAGCATTAACAGAATATTTCTAATTATTACATTTACATCCATACCTTTATTAGAATACAGTTATCTCCATGCATGGCAAAAATTATTGACATTTGTTTTCTTAAATATATATATTTTAACTTTGGCGTGCTTCAGAATTTAATTGCCTAAATGCTAAATGTTTGAATGACTTTATCCTATGCCAAAGCTACACATAAGCAAAAATGATTACATGGTTTTCTGTCTGTCTGTTCATTCATAAATTTCATAATATAGATAATCTTTGATCTTTCAAAGGTCTTGAAATAAAAATTGAGAAATCACCTGCCATTGCAATTAAAGATTGAATCATGTTCCTTAAGATTCATGAATAGATAATAAAACATTCAAAGAGTATGCAAATAATTGCAAGTACAGTCAATACTAACTAAATGGGAAATGTTCTTGCTAAAACAAATGTACTAAAAGGTAAGCGGAATTTAAAAAAAGTATCAAAAGAGTAGCATATGTTTGGTAATAAATATACCCTAACAAAAAAGTTCTATAGATAACTATAGTCTACTATAGTATCAAAGTTTTCACTATAGTATATCAAAATTTTTACTATATTTAATCAAAGTATTTTTACTATAAATTTTAGATCGTTATATTTTATTTTTTTTAAATTCCTATTAGCAATTTTCTTAAAATTGCAAAAAGAAAATTTAAAAGGAAATATTACTTGTAAATTAAACTTAATTTACTTATTATTTCACTTATTATTTCAATAATGTACATTATGTACATACATTGATATGTATTTTTAGAAATAATAAGGCTCTAAATCTTCAAAAAAGATTAGATCTTTAGATTAGACTAGAAAAAAATTCATAGTAAATCAAAGTATCAAAGTATTTACTATAGTTAACAATAATTAACCATAGTAAAATATAGTTAACCATAGAACTTTTTTGTTAGAGTTTAAAGGAAAAATATGATAAATTTCATGTACACACAAAAGTTTTCTGTCCATTTGCTACATCAGAAGTTGTTGAAAGTTTATTTTTAAATGTGCAATTGTTTATTAAGAGATCTGGTCGTTTTTGAATTTATATATTTAGATTCATTTGTACATACTACATCAAATCAATTTTGTACATGCAAAACCTATGTAAGATAATCATATTGACCTTTGGTTCCAGTGTAGTTTAATTTTTTAACATTATTTTGTGTAATGAATTGTTATAAAGGAGAGGACGTTCTAAGTTTTAAGAACTTGTGTCCGATCCTTTTGTTGTAATATCTAAACAATAAAATATGTTCAAATCAAATCAGAAGTTGTTTTGTTTTTGTTTCCTGTTCTACGATTGCTCACGAGCGATCTTGATTATCTTGTTAAATATGTAATTACTCACAATGAAGTAAATTTTGTACCCTTAATATTAAATCAGCTTAGCGTAATCGGTTAAAATCGTGACTATGTATAGAGCCTTCAATAAAATGTCAAAACCACATACCCAGACGACACAAAACAGATGTACATGTAGTTTTTGAAACTGTTTAATTATTATCATAGTTACGGTATTGATTACCCATTGCTTTTAGCTAAACTTACAACATATGAACTATTGAGAATTTAAAAAAAAAAAAAAAAAAAAAAAAATCTATAAAAGTGTCAAAATGAAGATCTTTGTTTCATATATTAAATACTGTATCGTAATGATTGATTTTTACAAAATATGACATAGATTACATGGTATTGTTTTTATTTTTTTTATTTATCAATGGAATCTTTCTGGTAAAATGACAAACAAATTAAATACAATTATAAATATTTAAATTTTAAGTCAAAGACCGTCAAAATGCATATCAATACATATTAGAAATAAAGAAATCAATTGTAACAGAACACTCTATAGAGTATTTTCTAAGTCCATATTAATCCTTTCTAATGTTTTTGTTTTAGATGATGACTTTGCCCATTATTTTCTATGAAAAAGGTATCAATTTAACTACATAACTGTAAATGATACATATATAGTTATGTATTACATACCACTGAACACTTTTATTTTTCAGGTAAATATAAGTTACAAAGTCAGATAACGCGTCATTGATTTTGACGTGTTGTCTACTTAATTTTGTGGAGAGTATCATAAACAACAACATTGTTTTTATTAACTCAGAGCAAACGTTTTATTTAATTGATTAGGAAATATGGAGATGTCACATTTCCGACATGCTCTTTCAATCAAAGTGAACAGTGATACATTATTGAAGATTTGGTATCTGTCTAGGCCTTTTGATCCCTCTTTGATTAAATGTTAAAGACTGATACCGATGTATCTCCTTTCAATTGGCATTTCATGAAAAAAAATCTACATGTACATATATAACAAAAATACACATGTTCTAAATAGAAATAAAATCATTTTAATTTTTCCTTCTTTCTACTTACCATTGAGAGGAGTAACTTGTGTCATCACTGCATCGTTGTCATTTTCCTGTCACCAATAATCAATCGGTGTACGAATTTTGTGCTCATGGCACCCTGTCCAAAACCTGTCTTCAAGTTGGGTGACTATCCAATTGTCAATACACACAGTCCCACATATCAAAGGATCTTAGATATTTCGCTTATTCAAAATCAGATATTTAAATCAGTGGAGAACTTTCTGTAAGTTCTTTCTGCCGCTTGGTTTTTCAATTATCTTATTACTGAAGGAACTTTAAAACGTGCATTATGTTTATATCAACACAGACCTTAGCTGTGTTGTTTAAATGTTTTCCGTTTGATTGTGACCAGTAGACCAGAACTCCCCATTTCTAATCGATTCCGACCTACAGACAAATCCCCTAAACTGTCGATTCCCTTGAATAGATTGATTTCTTATATTGCATTCATATGAGAGGGAAAAGATTTATCTTTGTGGGTTCAGTCAACAATCATTTTACAACTTAAGAAAATTTTTTTTAGAAATCGATAACCAATATTAATCCTTTTTGACATTATAATTATGAATCCTGAAGTCAATATGATAGAGCTGAATATCTTTTAACTATTTTGTTAATTGGTTAGATTAAGTTTGTCTGGATCTTTTAAGTTAAAACACTACAGTGCAGTAAGTCCAACAAATTTCGCACCAATATTCCACAAATAGAAGAGCATAGATTGAAATAATTTGATAGAGGGATCATGTATGGATTTATTTTTAACATATATCACCTTAAAATATCTATAAAATATTCATATATACATTTGTTTATATGAATAATCCTAATACATGTCTAATATCAATTGACATATGAAATAAAAGTATTACATCCAAATGAGTATTTTTCTGTTAGAATGCCCGAAGAATGCACTGAAATGCACTCTTTTGTTATCTTTAATTCAATTTTTCAATATATTATTACTGATATTAACTTGTCAATACTCATATCTCTTTGTGCAAAAATGAATTAAAAGCAGACATTTCGTGGCAACAAAATGGGCTCCCATTGATTGAATTTGCCAAAAAAAAATAGATCACTTAATATTCTTATCAACTAATCAATACATATTGTAAAATTTCAAATTGTTTTTCGTACATTAGGAATTAATCAATATTTATCAATATTCACCCTTAGATTACATAATTGTGCAATGTAGGCAATAATTTAATGAATCACAAAATACTGCAATAAAAGTTGATGAACCTATTTTACTTCCTGTCAATGTGTTCCAGCTATCATCATTGTAATTTAACATCATTTCTGAACGCTAGAATAGGAAATGTTTTTAGAGAGAGACCATGCCTTTTCCTTAATTTTACTGTAATATAACATGTCGCTTGCTGCTTGCATGACAGAATACTCTCAATTAAGGAATGTGAATTGTACTATTATGTAGGGAGAGTGATAAATTCTAATTTTAAAAAAGGGAAAAGGAAAAAGGTGTCTCTCAAGCCTTCATTTCTTCCATATGTTAGTTTTTTTTTTTAGTAATAAACTTCTAAGGAAAGGCTAAGAATTATTTTTTTTAAGTGACTTCACTTGGTCTGCATATAAAGTTTTTAAGATGCAAGGAAAAAAATGTATGTTTTTATTATTTGGAGAAAGAGAGAGTCCGTCCGCGTAGCAATGGTTAGAGCAAAGGTCTTGCTTCGCTTAAGAGTCGAAGTAGTAAGGAGTCTATTCTTGGACTTTGTCGCGGGTTAATCAAATCCCAGACATAAGGACTAGTCATTCGGATGAGACCCTTTGTCGCAGTATACGCTGACGTGAAAAGGCTTAAGGTCGTTTACTGCTCAATAACCTTATGTGCCAAACACAACTCTAAAATTGGGACCTTCCATCGGCAATTAGTGGCATCTCAACATGAATGAAAAATTCTCGAGGGGACGTAAACAAATACGTAACACACAAATGATGCTTTAAACAATTCTTTGCTTAATGCAAACTTTTTTTTTGTAAGGTAGACTCATCAATAGAATCTTCAAATGCGCTTATCAGTCAATAATTGCTTATTTCCAAACATTGATTAAATAATTCTCAGTATGAATGGCAAAAGAGCGACAACCCAAAATCTAGAAATCTAGAAATAAGTGAAGAAATCAATCGCCTGATATAGCTACCGTATTTTCTAAAATATTTTTCTGTAGTTATGATATTTTTATTCTAATAAATCACATCATAGACAACGCAATTCTATATCCTTTGTTCTTTTTATGACATCCGCTGTCTGACATACATATTTCAATAATTATATGAATTTGATTCACCCAACACACTTAGAAGGAGGGTATACACATACCCATTTTGAAAAATGAAAACCTTTCTTTCAGCATGAGGTCTTGAATTGTTATCAAGAAAAGAAACCTCATCCAGTAAATCTAATGATAGTTTAAATTTCTTTGATTCAGAATGTCTTGAGAAATTACGTAGTAAATCTTTTACTTTTTATTCTAAAAAGAAAGATCAATTTTCCCCATTATTTATTTGCATGGTTCAAAGAAAATTACGTTTAAATCCTGGACCATTTTAATGCCATTGACCAATTGAATGAAAAAACTGAAAATAATGAACAGTGATAGAACTCAAAAATATATTAATCAATACAAATTTGTGAACAGAGCATAAAACACGAATCCCCTGAAATCCCAGGGGTTGGATCAGGTGCCTAGGGGAAGCATGCATCCCCTGTTGACCGATCACATCCGCTCTAAGTCTTATGTAGTCAGGTAGACGAAAAAATCTGTACTCTAATATTTTAGTATAAAAACAATGGCTTAAACAATTGGTATGACACATGTCCGTCAAAATATAACTCAGTGATATGTTTTATTTGCAAACAAGGTCATTATCACGACCATGGAATTTTCGAAATGCTGACTTTAAAAGACGTTATTAAAATCCCTAAAACATTTCTTTATTTGTTAGTAGCATGTCTACGTTTAAAAATTGATCACAGCATGTTCTTGCGTATCAGATAAGTTGGATCGAGATATATGCAGGTCATAGTGGAATAAATAAATAAGGAAAGTTGACGACGGAAAGCTGAAGACATCTCGTTTCTCATACAGTTTAGTTGTTGGTTGGTCATTTTCGTCTATAGTCAATAAAATAGCGAAATATAAAGCAGATGTGTCAGACTCTGTGCTGTCTTTTATTTCAAGTTCCCTGGGGTTAACTGAGTCGACATATGAATGACAGTAACTATTGTTAATTGATAAAACGTCGTCGACATACATGTATCTTAATATCGAGTCGAAGGCCACAGTTAGAGTTTTCCTATTCTCATGTAGAAGTTTTTGAATAAATTCTGCTTCATAGGAACATACAAAACAGGTCGGTTAACAAAGGAGAACAATAAATGCCAATAGATTGTTGGAAGACCTTTTCTCAAAAGACTACATTGATGTTGTCAAAGAGGAATTCCAGCATCCTTTTAATATCAAACTCAGATAACTTGTCTGAAGAATCAGAGTAATGCTTAACAAAGTTATTTTGTACAAGACCAACAGCAATGTATGAAAATTTCCGATTTCTATTTTTATTGGAGAAGCAGTTGTTTATGATATCAATAAGCCTAGTATTCAATTTATCGTGAGGAATGCCGGCTTTGATGTTGCTGACTTTTGAGAAAATTTGTGATTTTTAACTTTCTAAAAGTGCTTTGAAGTTTTTGAGATTCCATATTTGATTTAAAACGCTTCTATGAGTTTTTGAGAATCCACATTTGATTTAAAACGCTTCTGGGATATGTTGTAGCATAGTATGTCTGAAGTTTCTTTTTCATAGCAGTTAATATTTTTGTGAGGAGTAAGGATAGGGGCTAGGAAGATCACCTTTCACAAGCAACTTCAACCCATGTTCCTTCTCGTTTCAAGTCCTTTGCCTTCGAATGTATGTTGCCATCACGGTAGCTAAGTCGGTAGAGTGCTCGCTCTGTGAACGGAAGGTCGAATGTTCAATCACGGCCGCGACTGGCCTAAATCGATAAAAAAAAAAAAGGAAGCAACCCTTCCTTCGCCAAGCGCTCGGCACTTTGGAGTGAAAGTTGCGGGTCTTTCGGATGAGATCTTAAAAACCAAACTCACGGTAGGCGTTGGCACAATAAAGATCCCTCACTGCTTAAAGGACCTGAGTGCCGAGTTAAGGTCTAAATTTGAAGCCCTTCACTTGTATATGGTGATGTCTCTATATGAGTGAAAAATTCGCGAATGGGATGTAAAACAACACACAATCAATCAGTCAATCGATTGTCTGTTCTTCAATTTAACAAACCTTCTTCTATTCTTTTTATCTGTAGTGCCCAATCTAAGATAATCCGAATCATGTTCCCCATTGCTAGGAATGGTTCATAATAGGGGGTCAAAGTTCCACATAGAAAAATACTGATATAGGAAAGAATTTTTTAAAAATCTTTAAATACTTCCTTTCTATAAATTAGAGAAATAATATGCTTGTAAAATATAAGAATAATTTCATCTTATTTTGTAAATGAAACATTGTTTTCAATATACATGTATTTACAAAACTGAGGAATAAGTTCAAATGCCAAAGGGTAGATATTAGCATTGTATTATTTCCAATCACTCTCACAAATGCTAAAGTTTACACAAGTTAAATATATTTGTGTAAAATATATCAGTCTTCATTCTTCATTTGGTAGTTATCAACTTTCTAAAGAAAAGTGCGGATATATTTTTGTTATACATGTATCAAGGCCCGCTAATCCGTCTATCACTTTTTCTTCTACCTCGACTTCTCTTACACTTAACACAGTAGTCAATTGTCTTTTTGGAATAAGATTGATGGTGTTCTGTAAATGTGCAATCAAGTTTTAGTTTCCCTGATTTAACTTGTTTCCAATTCCGCCCTGAGGTCAAATGGGGGTCGAAAAGCTACTGTTCCCAAAACTCCTGCATTTTACGCAGCTTGTGGCCAAATCATTTTTTCGAATTTATTTCCTTGTGTCCTGTGGATATGAAATAATGTTTCGGAATTTTCATTTTCATCCTCAGGGCAAACTGGGGAGGAGGCCAAAAAAAAATGCTTTTCCCTACAAAAGCCTGGTTTCCGTATTGCCTCAAGCAATTCATTTTGAATCTGATTTGTGTCACGTGGATATACGAGGTCTTGACACTGAAAGCTCAATTAGAGGCCGAAAATTAACTCTTTAAATTTCAACAAAAACCATGTTCTTAGATATTCTCTTACATTTTATGGAGTAATCTAATCTTCTTTTGAATGATTAATTGAACTTCGTCCCATTCGTGACGTCACCGAAACGTCACTATATACCGGTAAAGGGCTTCAAATTTAGACTTTCAATCGGCACTCAGCGCCATTGAGCAGTGAGAGGTTTTTTTATCGTGCCAACGCCTACCGTGATAAGGGGTCTCGATTTTAAAGGTCTCATCCGAAGACCCGTGACTTTCACTTCTTATGCCGGGCGCTTGGCGAAGGAACATTCACTTTCTCTGTACGTCTCAGGTTTGACGCGGCGTGGCGAACGAGAATCGAAACAGGACCTCCCGATCACGAAGCGAACGCCCTACCTCTAGGCTACCTTGACCGGTGATCTTTTGAAATATGAATATGATCTATAAAAATAGAAATTAAAAAACCAGATGCTATTATAACAGTAATACAATGTACCTCTGAGTATTTGCCTCCTTACTCTCCTTTATACATTGCCATCTTGGGAAGAAAACATGTTAAATTCTATAATTTACAAAACTGTACGCGTGTCAAATCGATAATAAAATGCTATGGTGATCATATGGTCCTTTCATGCAAGTGTTTCATATAGTTACTAATATTATGTGAAATTTTATATTAATAATAAATTCATTGCCAGTCTGAAATTGAAGAAATTAGTTAGGCATAAATGCTTTTTTAAAGATTATTTTCAGTAATAGAAAGGTGTTTTGAATTCTTAGCCCACAATTGGCTTCCCTATTAAATGAAAATTCTGAAACCTTCTTACACATGCTGGAGACATAACTAATCATATTCCAAAATATGAATTGGCTACTTTGTAAAATGAAGAAGGAGTTCTAGCAATTTTGTTTTGTAGAAGAACGTCGTTTTTCGACCCCCAGTTGGCTTCCATGGTGAAAATGATTATACCAAAGCCTAATTACGCATCTTCAGAACATAACTAATCATATTCAAATAGATTATTTGTCTAGTGCATATTATAAAAATAGTAGAGTTCTGAGAACCAGGATTTCGTAGAGAAAAAGTCATTTTCGATTCCCAAATTGGCCCCCATAACCTTATCGCACATCTACAAGACACCATCACATTCATATCGTAAAACATACGTAAAATATTTTTTAAAAGTTCTGGGAATTACGTTTTTGAAGAAAACATCGTTTTTGACCTTAAATTGGCCCAAAGGGTGAAAATAAAAACGTAAAAACATTATCGCATTAAAAAAGGATACCTTTTATTATATTCCAAAAGATGAATTGGATAATGCTTAAAATATAAGTCTAAGAGGAGTTTCAGAAGAAGATGGTGTGACAAACGGGCAGACGGACGGGCCAGAACAAGAACAATAAACCCAAACTTTCTTTAGAAAGTGAGGGTAAAAAAAATATGTTCCCAGAGCTCCTCTTACATTTTACCCAGTAATCAAATCATTTTTTTTGGAATATACCCTAACAAAAATTAAATATGTTAACTAGAACAATAAACCCAAACTTTCTTTAGAAAGTGAGGGTAAAAAAAAAGTATGTTCCCAGAGCTTCTCTTACATTTTACCCAGTAATCAAATCATTTTTTTGGAATATACCCTAACAAAAATTTAATACAGTTAACTATAGTTAGTTATAATAAATACTTTGATTTACTATGAGACTTTGCTGTAGAACTTTTGTGAAGATTTAGAGTGTTAAAATTTCTTAAATTACACACCAATGATGTAAATCTTTGAAATAATATGTATATATACGAGTAATATTTCCTTTTAATATATGAAATTGGATTTTTAAAAAGTAAAATATAACGATCTGAAGTTCACAGTAAAATTACTTTGATTAACTAAAGTAAAAACTTTGATTTACTATAGTGAAAACTTTGATGCATTAGTATACTATAGTAAACTATAGTTTAACTATAGTGAACTATAGTTTAACTATAGTGAACTATTGTTTACTATAGTACTTTTTTGTTAGATCCCTCACAAAAAAAGTACTATAGTTAACTATAGTTTACTATAGTTAACTATAGTTTTCTATAGTATAAAAGTTTTTTCACAATAGTAAATCAAAGTATTTTTACTATGGATTTCAGATCGTTATATTTTTTGTTCTTCAATTCATACCCACACATTTTTATATTAAATTGAAATATTATTTGTATATTCACAGATTATTTCCAAATTTTACATTACTGTTTTCGAATTTCAGAGATTCTAGGCTTTGACATCTCAAAAAAAGTCCTAAAGTAAAGTTTCGTAGTAAATCAAAGTATCAAAGTTTTCACTATAGTTAACTATAGTAAACTATAGTAAATTTTTGTTAAGGGGGTGATGGGATCTTTCGGAATTTTCATCGTAAGGGCCAACTGAAGGGTCTGGAAAAAGACCTGGGGCTTCATTAAAGGTAAAGAATGTATTATACGAAATATTAAGATGAAATTCCTTGCACCTCATTACCTCAGCATTTTTTACTCAACTTATTACATGTATATTTATGTAAATAACAGAATAACAATTGTGGCTTCTTTGCTACTTACCATATTAACAAATAAGAGTTCATTTAGAGACAAACAATTACGTAAGGGTGTTACTGTTTAGTTCCAAATTATCTATAAGGTAACGCAGAAATTAAAAATTGGGTTAATATTTTTGCTATACGCTCAAATAATGGGCTTACTTACTTCACCATAAAAAAATATATGTACATCTATATTCTGAGAACTTGGGACTTTCTCCTAAAAATATTTGATTTACAGAACTTGATTTACAGAGTTAAATGTCGCTGAAATAACTATCTGCACCTTGATAACGGAGATGGAGAATTTTTTTTTCGTATTTTTAAACTTAAATTTACCTAACATAAGCATGCTTTGCATTTTGAAAAAATATGGGGTTTTTTACCACGGCGAAAACATTCAATATAAATTACAGAGGTCAGACAGTTTTACTACTGAAGTGTCTTATCATTATGGCATAAGTGACTTGAAAACATGATAATCGATCCGGCATGTAATCATCTCTCGATGTTAAAGTGCTGATGTATCAGAGTTGTCTTTTTCATTCACTCGCTTCTTCAAATACAGACGATATAACTGCGGAGATTCAGTCATACAAGTAATACTTTTAATATTGCATACATGTGTTTGTAAAAAAAAGTATACTTAAAGAGAAATAATTAACAATATACAAAATATTATACAAATATACAAAGTCAGAATAACACAGGGTTCAGACGTTCGCCAAAGACTCTTGCTCAATGTTAATTTCCATGCTGTTGTATTTTAATCAATTTAAAAAAAAAAAAAAAAACAAAAAAAAAACTTGCAATTCCCAAGGAAATATAACAAACTTAGCATAATAAATAGAATTTGCATCAGTCAATGATTGTGATGGAAGAAAAACATAAAAAGCAAGAACAGTGCTTGGTGAACGTGAATTCGGTAGGTTTATGGAAAAAATACAATATATCAAATATACTTATGGCTACAAACATTAATAACATTGACTCACTTACAAAAAATAAATTCTGAGTTTAACATCAGAATCAATATATTTTATCTAACAAAAGTTAGATCTACCGTATGTTCTCTCAGCCCACTGTTCATTCAAGGAACAGATGCCCTTAGTTTCGGTCGTCTGGGATTTTTAAATTTACTGTCAAAACTGAAGGAACCAGTTGGTGTACAAGTTATGCTGATTAGATGTTTCACATCCGGTCTCTTGAAGTAGCCAAGGCAATGTCGATCATTTGAAGCGTTGTAAACGGGGATAATGTCCTTGTATTTTGTGCGTTTTCTCTCCGTGATGATCGCGTCATTCACAAACGTCTGCTCCCTAGCCCGAATCTCCTCCACTGTTGGAGTACGTTTACAGCGATGCCTGTGGCTCAACTTGTTCAAATTCCTTGCATTTTCCTGGCTTTGTTGTAATTCCTCAAAAGAAAGATATAAACAAACATCGTTTTAAAATCGACACATGTTAGCTAAATAACCCCTTTTTTAATATTGCAGAGATCTGATGACGATTTTTGGAGAACTCAAGAGGCTATAGTTACAAAGGGTTAAGAATTCGATAAATTATTCACAGAAGTAAATATCACAGAAAAGTGGAAACTTATAAATACGCGTGAGCTTTTATGCTTATAAGATTATGAACTCCACTACTGAGCCAGTATTCAGAATTGGCAGTCAGTAGATCATTGAGTTAAATGCTTTATTTGACAGTTTAAATCCCGACAACCAACTGGAAATTAATGCTAGCAAAGTAACGGAAAACATGTAAATTAAATAATTCATGGTTAAAAAATCAAATTCAATTTTCCTTTGAATTTTGTTGAAAAATAATCAAGCAGTGCTGTATACTGTCAACTCAAAAATATTCTCAAAAATCTTGCAAACTCTGTTCCACAAAATACTTCAAAATTGTATTTAAAATATTCATTTTAATAATACGAAAAGTAATTCCAAATCAATAACCTTCTTAATCGATATCGTATTTCCTACGGCAAAAAACCACAAACAACAAACATGTCCAAATTCTCATCTAAAGAAAAGATTACTTATTTAAAAAGCAAATTAAATTCATAGAATTAATCAATCTTTTTTATACATAAAACACACAATAGCCTTGAAAAATTCATGGATAACCATGCTATTTGAAATCGGATTTATTTTTAAATCAATTCATTCATCTATACTAATTTTAAGTTGCAACAAAAATATTTGTCTGCTTCAGTGACTTTAACAGTAGAAGACTGCGTTCCTGATTTACCCATAATAACACTACGAATAAAAATCTAAGTTAAAAACAGTATTTCTAATTAACGATGTAACAGGATTTACCTTGTAATACTTAAGGGCATCCTCTACCTGTCCACCTAGGTGTCTTCCATACAAATTCTCTAATCGTTTAATTAGAAAATCGTGATTACAAGGAAATTTACTTGCTCTCTTGTTCTCTACTTCCCAAATTCTCAATGTCATTATGAATTATAAATGACCAAAAACAAGCGGTTGGGGGTTCTTATAACGCAGGTATTCTACCTTGACAACGCATTTGCTCGTTGACTGTCGGGACATTTAATGGTCCTCCCAAGCAATATGGAAAACCAGTAGAAAAAAAGAGTTCTTATCGTTTTTGACATATTCAAGATTGAGATACAAGTACTTGCCATACGTTTAGTTATCTGATAGAATGAAATTTTAAAAAAAACTTAAACAATTTTAAAAATAAGGCAATCTACATTTTTTCTTGATTTTTTAAATTACAAGATAGAAGTTATCACTGAGTACAATTTCTTGATGACATGTGTAGAATACTTATATGCATGTACATGTATATACCGTAAATCTGGAAATTTTTACGTCGATTTATTTTTGCGAATCTGGGTCAAAAGTCTGTTGATTAATTTTTACGTTTAAAATTTTTTGCGAATCGTCATTTGAACTAAAATATAAAAAGCTTTTAAAATTTTCTTAAACGTTTGTAATTTACGCATGTACAAACAATAAATTACGAATAAACGTACAATATTAAACTACACCAACGTTCAATTATCAGATAAAAATATTAGAAAAGATAAATCATCCAAATTGTTGAAAGTTTTCATAATATTTTCATAAATCACACATGTACATGAAATATGTATAACGATGTAATTTTTAAGTAATCTTTAGATAAAAAACATTCTTTGTTGTTGATTTATTTTTAAGAAAAATATTTTTGCGAATGCAATGCATGCGCAAATTTGCTAAAAAATTATCTACAGCAAAAATTTCCAGATTTACGGTAAGTATGAATGATCTTATTCTATGAAACATAGCCACTTTCGTTCACAAGAACTTACATGTAACATGTACATTTGTATATAAGTCATCTGGATACTTTACTTCAAGTTCTATCTTTGTTTACCTCTACTGATAAAATAAACAAACCATTTGATAAATAAAACTAATTAGTTGAGCAATTAAAGCTTTTGTCTACAATATTTGATTGCCAGTCTCGAGTAATATAAACAAAACTAATCATTTTAGAAACTACTAGTACAGATAATAACCAGTCCCTTCGAACTGAACAAGTAGCACCCGGAAAAAAAGCATTGAAAATCATATCCAAAAGTCTCTGACCAACAATTATTGTAAATCAACGTACGTAGAGCTAAACCAAACAGAGAAAAATTATATATTTACCCTCTTTATTTATAGCTTACCTTCTTTATTTATATGTTAACTTCTTTATTTATATGTTTCCTTCTTTATTTCTTTATTTAAATCTTACCTTCAGATGAAAATTCCTCTCCATCATGGCTTTTACAAATGGAGACTGGAAGTACGCCTGCGCATAGCGATCCTGCACTGCGTTGTAGGGTGGTATGATAGGCTTTCTGCGGTTTGTGGTAAATTTTGTGTGTATTCCGTCGTTTATAAATCCTGATTCCATTTTCCTTCTCTTTTTCATAGACGGGAGGGGTTTCACTTTGTCTTGGACAATTTCTTTCTTCCAAAGAGGACTGTTGAATGTAACCCAAGCCATCTCAAAAATGTGCTGAAAGAAATTGTTTTAAAATATGAATGTATGAATTAACTTAATTATATACAATTTCATTTATTTGTTCAAATTTTATTGAAAAATGAATCATATTTATGCAGTAAGAAACATGTAAAATTTAAGCAATGAATCTTCCTCAAATAATCAAAGGACTATGCATATAAAATTTAAAAGCATTTTAACAGGTGTTATATTTTAAAGTGCAATCAGTCTTTTCTTGTACTTTAACATGCATACTGAAGCAGACATGATAATTGGTCGGAATCGATTTGAAGTGTCACTAGGGGATCACAGATTGCGTGAGTATGCAAATAAATAAAAAAAAAAAGAGATAACACCAATTCTAGATCATTAACTAAACATTCACAAATTATTAGGATACTTCATTACCAATGTTTTTATTTCCTTTTGTTTTTTACAACTTGAAAAGAGCATCAAACAGGACATAATTAATTACTTTACTCTCCTGTAGTACTTAATTAATGAAGTAAATTTTGTTTTGTACTCATTGTGAACTCTGCTTCAGTGTTCTCTTACTCTGCTCTACTTTCATTTAATATTATGTTTTCAAACCCAAACACTTTCGATAATCATGTTTAGAAGAAAACTTCAATAAAGGAGGAAATACTGAATAGTATCTGACGACAATGATTTATAAATGCAAAAGATTTATTGTAAATTAGACTATTTCAATACTAACATATTAGAAAAGAACAAAAAATTGTTAGCCAAATGTAGCTCCTTATATCTAAGCGCTAAATAGGGTCAAAAATTTTGAAATGTTGGACACTGAGAAAGATGGGACTAAGTTAACACGTGCGGACCAAACTGTTGACATCAGGTGGATTATCTTTGATGTATAAGACGAATCAAGAACTTAAATGTTTGTTTTCTAGTGTATTTTCCATAGTTTTGTTCTCAAGAGCTATGAAAGTATTTCTAGGTTTGTTTAGTAAATGGGTAAGTTGTGTACAAGAGAAGGGAACGTGCAATCAAAGCAAAACACAACCCCTAACGAGTGGTGTTATACACGGAATTAGTGGCCTCTCATCCAGGGGAAGTTCTCAGTTGTTGTTGTTTGTGTCCAACTAATGGCACTTGACCAGACAGGGATGATAACTTATAACCATGTATTCTGAAGTCCCGCTGGTATCCTTAGGATTCAAAAATGAACGGGAATATTACATTTTTTAAAACCTTTTATGACTGATTTTGTCTCCTTTTCTCTCTTAAGATAAAAATCTTCTTTTGGTAATTTTAAGCGTAAAGAATTATTTGAGATCAATATGAAATATGAAGTTATTCCTAAACAAAGCTTAAACTACATCCCAAGCAACTCAAAAGGTTAAGTAAATATTTCACTTCGATAATGTGTATCTTATCTTTGTCGAAAAACGTGATCCTTATATGCAAGTGTTTTGAATTTTCAAAATATTGATTAACATTTAAACACATTTTAAGTTTAAATTCATATAGAAAAAGAAATAGAGTCAATTTAGCATCGTTTTTAGTGAAGCTTTTAAAAAGACTTCATTGCAAGTTTGATGATAAATATTACGTACTATTCGTTTCTAAGATATTCTTTTACAGTGTCTTACGTAAGCTATTTCCTACATTCTGATTGTTTTGATTACAATAAATTAAATTTGTTTTAAGTTGTACGACGAAGCAATTCACTATGGGCGTTCGTAGTTTATATTTTATCTAGGAAATAAGAAAACAACATATTTTATACACGCTCAACAAAAATCAACCTGTAAGTATCAATTTATTCTATATAGTATATATACTTAGAGCAAATTATAAGTTATGATTAAAATAAGAAGTGTGGAAGGGAAAACTGAAGTTTAAATTCCTCTGCATATTACACTCAACATTTATAATTAGGGCCGTCTTTGCATTTATCTGATTTATCTATCTTTCATTTCATTAAGTCTTAAATGGAAAAAAAATGGATAGTTTTCTTCTTTGCTGATCGCAATATTCTTTTTCTGTAAATCTTTTTAAATTAAAGACCGATGTCATCGGCAATCACACATTTTTAAAGTAAGAGTGTACATTATGGAAATGTTTATCACTTAGTGTCCCAAATTACACAAAAAATAATTTTAAAGCTGAACTCTTTTTACCCCCATAATCCCCCTTGGATTATCTTTGTCAGACCAAGCACAATACGAGGAGCTCTTTTATTATGTAATGCCCATTGAAGTTTCGATTATATATCATGGACAATTTTAATTTGAAAGAGTTTTCTTGAAATTGTCTTTTTAGATAGTTATTTCTAAACATTTATATCTGAACATCACTTAACATAAAAAAATCTATTCGTATTCTATTGTACATTGAAGAAAATGTTTCGATCTCCCCGTCAAATTAGTTATTTGCAAATCAAAGTAGTATTGATTTTCCTGTGTAATTTTTCTGAAGTTCGAATGAACAATTATGCGATTAAATAAACTTTATCAATAACAACAGTTATAACTAACACATAATTTAAGTGTTCCATGTTTGATTCAGAGAAAATTAGCTACAGTTATATTGATATCAATATTATTGTTTATTGTGGAACCAATTAAGAACGGACGAACGATCTTACCTGAATTCTGACAGCGTTATTTGACTCCTTGCAAGGATCGGTGGCAGACCGCCACGTTCCACTAGGTGCTCTTTTGGAATGATTCAAATTGCCTAGTATAGCAACTGATATATGAAGAAATATTCAACTTAATTGATAACAGGTGCTCAAAGTAATTTTTTTCTAAAATATAATTTTATCATACAAAGTAAAATTTGGGACCAACTTTTATGCTACATGTAATTAAGATCTTTTCTTAATGACGTTAGCAAACTTATGAGATTATATGATATGAAAATAGCGAAGATTCAATTTTTGATTGAGTTTATCAATACCTTACCTTTTCTTTATCTGCATGTAATGTACTGAAAGAAGTTTTAATTCGAGTTATCGACTGAAAGTAACGAGTTTTAAACACATTTTGTCAAATGTCATCCTTTAATCTGAAAAGAAAACAGTTATTGGTCGCATAACGTTCTCAAATACGTATGAGGCGCTAATATTGATACCCATAATCCCTTAACGGGGAGTAGTTCAATACAAAGTTGATATTTTATAAACATATTTTGATCTTCCAGTGTATTGGTTAAATTACTCTTCATTTAACATGTATTTTAACATGTTTCAATGTTGCCTTACTAAAAGCGAAGTAAGAGAAGTTCCTACATTAAGATTTCATGATTCTTTTGTGAAGTTATTTTCTGTTTTAATATTTTTCTGATATGTACGATATAATAAAGTTTATAAACTAAAGTGTTATTTAATGAACTAAGATGCCAAGAGAGAGGGTCGTTATGGGTCAATATCGGCCCTGTCATTATTTGGTCTTTTTTTTTTTTTTTTTTTACAGTAAATCTAAAATATATATTCACTAAAACAGTATATTTTTCGATACCTCTTTTATTTATTTTTTAAAAATTTATTTATTTATTTTTTGCCAGGAGCATAACTGTCTGCAAAAATCGTGTTAGACACTAGTTTGCATTGACAACTAAGAAAATTACTAAGTTTAAAATATTTTTATTAATGTTATCTAAAGAATTATTATTTATAGATATTAAGTAAATAATTAAAAGTAAATTAATCTAAATTGTACATAAACACGCATTGCTTATACTGTACGTTTACAGTGTTATGATTTGATTAACAACGAAATCGTAACTGGTATGCTGATTGGTCAACGCGCAAGAACTAAGTTAAGTCTTGTCGTACATGAACCAAAATTGCCCTGCTTATACATGTATACTTTCTATTTTATCATGAACGTGCTTTTAGCTTTGTTTGTTATGATATATAAACATGCTAAGACGTTAATGCGGTAATATAACATAAATACTTTTGAAAAGAAAACTCTTGAAAGTTTATTCCTTTGAAGTAAACACTTTCTTCTTCTCCTTTATTGAAATATGAAGATAAATAATTATATCGTACGGAAGACAGCGTTAGTTAAGCTTTGTCTCGTTCATTGGTCCGGTGTAAAGACGAATAATGACCCCCATTGAATAATGACCGGGTCATTTTTCGACGTCGAAAAATGACCCCTTTGCCTGTAGAAAGAGTGGCATTACCCTTGAAATCTGCATATCATAAGTGAAGAAAAATATGACCGCCGTAGAATAATGACCCCCTGTAGATTTTGTTAGGGATACAAATGTATTTTTCTTTTTGATTCAAAAGATTGAGAATTATAAATCAAAAGGCCCATGAACCAAAATGCTCACCTGAGGTAAACGTAAAATGAAGATACAGGGATGATATGTTGGTCTCATTAAATCTTTCAAATAAAATGATCTATTATGATAAATTGACAGCATTAATCGACTTCAATGTACACTACTAAATGAAATCCCACGCTTAAGCGCGGGGAATTGAATTTATACCACTACCGACAGAAAATATATTGTACTTTCTACTGACAGCCTACAGGCTTATAGCAGGACTTTGTTCAAAATCCCGCATGAAGTTGATGTACGTCTCCATCCCCCACCCCTCTTTTGTAAAAAGTTTTATTGTGAAACCCGTTATACTGTGTTATGGATATTGTACTTCAGATGCTCTTATTTCATTTCCGTCAAAGATAAAAGCAGCGAATATGCACATTTTACTGATAAATTGATTGGGGGGGGGGGGGGTTAAAAATTCATAGGTACTTGGGTCTTGGTTTATAAATAAGTTTGTACCTTATTGATATATAAAAAAATGTACTTTACTTTTTTTACATATCAATAAGGTACATACATGTACATATTTATAAACCAATACCCACGTACCTGTGTAAAAATTAGATTGTAACACCCTATGAATAGGCCGAGTATTTGATACAAAATACTGTATTCAGAAAAATCAAAACAAACGTATTGATTAAAGCACAAAATTTCACATCTTTAATTGTATTTGAACAATACCTTCTTCATTAACTTT